ACAGACGATGTTGTGGTATCCCTGGCCACCAGACCGCGTAAAGGATTAGGACACAGCCCCAGTTCTTGAGGAAGCACTCTGTCAGAGAGTGCGCCCATACCCTGGCCTGCTGTGGAGGGTTTGGCGTCTGACGATGACGACTGAGGCTCAGGTCGAGCCAAGGCATACCCGGGGACCAGCCACCGCTGTGTCCCATTTGATGGATGGATGCATAAGAGCCTCAGACTCGCTTACTCGACCATTGGCAGTGACGTGTGATCCCCACCGGAGATGGAGATCAACGCTAATGAGCCGCCGTGCCATCTCCTGTCCGCGTGCTGTCCGTCATGGCGGAGAGAACAACGTCTCGTGATCCTGATCGACGTTGTCTAGTTCGCGTCTCCTTCGTCACACAACATAAAAGATCAACGTGACCTTATTGCGCAGAAGCGGTTCCGATAGGTCTGTGTATATAAATTCAAAACATTGTCAAAGCTCGGAGTAGGACTCGCAGCTACACTGATTATGAATGCGACAAAAATATACTTCTGTGGCGATACACAATACATTATACGGTTACGGTTATACGGATACACAAATACGGTTCGGCCATACGCAAACCATATACAAAATAAAAGGTAATCGTTTGTGCGAGTTTTATTGTAAAAAGGCACAAAGGCCACACATTGAATTCAATGGCATCAACAATGTTCATATTGTATTTCCAGAAACAACAACAGAACAGAACAAAATAAAAAACATATCATAATAAAAAGCGCCAACTGACAGCTTACAACGGAAAACGACCATTCCATTTGAGTCAAGTCTTCTCACATTACCGCTTCACGCCGAAGCCCGAGGACAGATAATGCGCGTGCGCACTCAACTCTGATTAATTTTGAACAAGTTCAAGCGCCCAAAACAAATAAACAATTGGCCTAGTCCCAGTGGTTTCAAATGACCCGCCATTTCATCGCACACATTAGAATCCATGAAATTAGCAGCTGGTTATATCTAAAGCTGCCCCCGGCTCCATATTTTATGGTGAAAATACACACGCACAACACCAACACATAACGGGAACGTGCACCACAGTAATACGCATTCACAACATCGTCGTTCCGTCAGACGCCGAAGAAGCATGATCTAACGCCGCAAACAGAGGGCAGCCAAGCCGCCAGAGAGCAGGAGTTCACTAGCCCGGTGATCGCGAGGGTGAAGTCACCTCGCGGGGCCAGCCAGCTAACCTCGCCGGCCTGGTCAGCCCGTGAGTGAGGTCACCTGGCCAGGCTAGCCAGCTGACCTCTCCAGCCTGGCCAGCGTGAGAGTGAGGCCATCTGGCGGGCCAGGCCAGCTGACCTCGCCAGTCGGGTCAGTGCATGAGTGGGGTCATCTGACAAGGCAAGTTAGCTGACCCAACCAGCGAGGTCAGTCATATCCTCCATAATCACATGCCCATATTGGTACATTAAAGAAGTAAAAATGTTGCCAACTATTCAAAGTCTGCAAAACCTTTATGATCTCTAGTATCCAATGGTTTCAAGAGCTACCTGTCCTCAGGCCCATGCTTTTTGTTGTTGTATATCCATATGCAGCATGTACCAGTCATCCAATGCATATTGGTCTCCTTGAGCTGGGGCACCACTGCATCTCAATTGGAGAAATGCTGACAGTTTTGACCAATGACTGATCTGATGTGTATGAGTCAGACAAAGCCTTACAACATTGTGCACAGGCTTTGCTGAACAGTTTTCACAGTATACAAACCTTGTATTGAGAGCCTTATAGTCCATATAAAACCACAGATATTTAATTACTTTTTAAAAGTCCTTAGGTCAGTCTTCCACTCATGCAGGAAACATGCAGCACGAAAACATAGAACATCTTGTAAGCTACAACATGCAGGAGATGTACAATGCTGGGCCTGCCTCCATAATAGATGCCAGGAATTGGTGAAAAGGGTTACCACCAGTAAAAGACCATGTAGAAGAGTCTCATATTACATCTCTCATATTATGTCAACAAACATGAGACATCCTTAAAATGTTGTGGCACCAAAACTGTGTTGAATAAGAAAATCACCAGAGCAACCAATCCACTTCCATGCTACCTAGACTGATGACTGGATGCAATACCAAAGTATACCTAGTCTGTCCCATGAAGTTTGCCTAGCTTCATGGGGCAGACTACACCATACCCTACACCCAGTCTGCCCCATACTTCACATACATAGCTTTAAACTTTTAATACTTCTGTACTAAACCAATTTATGAATTCAGGGTAGTCTAATCTGTACCTAAATCAATTCCACCATGCCCAGGCTCAGAGCATCAAGGTCACTTAAACACCCAGTGCAGAGGATAGATTGTTTCTGCAAACTTGGGTGTAGGTAAAAGGAGCACAATGTAAAGTGTGAAAACAACTCTGCAAAACAACATGACATGCTCGTAACTGACGTCCATCCTAACGGGCAAAATACACATCGTACCAAGACTCGGGCAGGTGCTTCAAAACAACCAGCTTCAGTTTTCGGGGCTTTCCATCACGTTCAATTCAACCAGAATTTATAGGGCCACAATGTTATGAGCATGCCGGACATCCCCACCAATCTCCGAATCCCCGCACATTCCAATGGCCCTGATACGCATTCGATGTTCCGGAAGGCGTATATTGAAAAAGTGGCCGAGTTAAGCATGACGACCTAAAAATACACCACGGGTATGGTGCAAACGGCCTAAACTACTGCCTGTCACACTACGGGCGGATTACGGACCACGCGCAGCCACGAAATCGCCAGCAGGTTTGACCAGCCAGAGCTCGTAAAATCATCGCCGGCTCTCAAACTGATAAATGACCGAGCACAGGGGTGCAATTTCACATCATGAGTTTGGAGGAGGAGCTGAACAACAAAAAATGGTTCAATCTACCTTGAAAAGTATATTCTGATGTTTGAAAAGTTAAAATCGGGTGGGAATTGTCTGGTTATTGGAGCTCTCCGTCCATTTGGCCTCAATTTTGCCTTGCAAGACGACCATGATCGGAGGTCAGGACCTTTACAAAAGCCTTAGTCTTTGCGTTGGTGAATGTTCCAATGCATGAAAATGTGAAATCTGCCGGTAAAATTTTGGTGATGCGTGTCCGAATTTCACCGTAGCGAGTAACCTTGATGTTTTATTGTTACCGGCTGGATCTCACTTCAGCTCGTCTATTATGACACAATAGTGATGTGTGCGCGCAAAAGTCTGGACTAACCCTCGCTCGGCGGGCTCGGACACGGGTCAGCTGGTAACCCGTCAGGTCAGCTGATAGGTCACCTGACCCCGTGCAGGGGGACTTATGTCATATCACCTCCTCCATAAACTTTCGCTCTAACGTTGAGCGTCCGTCCTCAAACAACAACCACGCGCCACAGAAAAAAAACTGAAGCACAGTTACGACTACGCCCTCACACTACTGCTGGCATATGCCCGCGTCCCAGCGGACTTGCGGCTGCTGCGGCCCGCGGCGTTGACGACCGCTGCAGCAGGGCTCAACCGCGGGCGCCACAGTCCCCCGCCTGGCGGGCGGTCTCTGGGCCGCGCCGGAAGCAACAGTCGGCCGCTGCCCCGCTACGCTTATCAGCATCGGACGTCGCGGTATCAGGAACCCCTTTTCGTACACTAAATGCGGAGACTTGGTATCTTCACTAATCAGGCCGTCGCTGTCTCATGCCGATGATGACGCCGACGGTGCGGCCCCAGCGGCCGGTCCCCAAGTTCTGAGCATTGACGCGGCAGCCGACGCGCGGTACTGAGAGTGAGCACCCTGAGGCGTTGTGACGGTAGGGGCGGAGCGAGGGGGGGGGGGTCACGGGGCCATGCCTCTCCCTTGGGCTTCGAAGGGGTCCGTAGCCAGCCCAACAGACGCATTTTCTACGCAAAACGCAACAAGATTGGGCAACTTTGTGCTTCCATGAAACCAATGATAGTCACAAGCAAATGTGAAGGGCCCACGCGCAAGCAAAACTTTTCTTTACTGATTGATAGTGCCGTGATTGGGAGGTTTTAAGGCTGATTACGCTTTTCAGAGGTCCCACGCTGTTTCCGGAGGGCCCACATGTCCACTTGTGGGTCAACTCGATCCAGCAAGGCTGCTGCAAGATCCAGCAAGCAAGGCTGATACAGCTTCACACGCTACCCTTGATTTTCTTGCATTCGCTCGGAGAGCCCCCGCGCTGTTGGTGGGCCCCTTCCTGCTAACGTGCCGGAGCACCTCTCCGTCAATCAGGGATCTTCCATGGATTCTTTCCATTCGCCCGAAAGATCTGCACTCAAAAGACGGGGTCTCTATATGTTAACCTGCCCGGGGATTCTCGGTTGCTGAGGGGCCCTTCATGTTGTTCATTACGCTGTCCAAGGGCGATCGTTCAGAGACCCACCACGTTGTTCTTGGTTCTTCTTGCTTGCTCTAAAACCCTATTCTTGTTGATGGAAGCCTCTTTGTAGGTTTGCCGCGACACCCCCGATCGCTCATGTTCCATCTCTATTGGCCTTGGTGCCTGAGTCTTAGAGAGGAAGTCGGCTGTTCTGTAATGCTCTCTTATACCCTTTTCCACCCGTAGTGCGACAAGTAGTGGTTTTTAGATGGCTTGCACCACGTCTGTGGTGTATTTTTAGGCAGTCATGCTTAACTCAACTAGTGTTTCAATCCACGCTTCCGGAAGGGCGGACAACGTAACGCGACAATTGTGGATAGTATGTGCCGTACTTGGCTGTCATGTCATGCTTATGACTTTTCGTAATTTGCATTTAGTATTCATGTTCGTCCGTTTTTCTTTGCTCTGTATATGTAAAAAATATTTTTAACACGTTTGGTGTCATAATTACATATTTAATAGGATTTATCGGCTTATCTTGTATTTCTTCTTAAAATAAACGTCATTTGTGTGATGGCAATATGAAAGTTTTAACGATATCGTTGGCTCTGGTGCATGAAAGTCATATGTGACGTCACACGAAAAAGAGGTCGCGCCTGCCGTCTTTTCGTCCGCGTTTGTTACGGTTTCACCTCGCTGTTGTGGCTCGCGACAGGTGCTTCCGTCGTAAATTTACGCTACGTGTTGAAGAAGCGAAACAGCATTCGTGCAATAGCGGAAGGACTGGGTTTCCTTGATACGCATAAGTCCTAGTCAGCTTCATTTACAGTGCATGTGAAGCTCGGAACAAGTTCGCGGGCGAAATCGTGTCTTCAACTTGCGCCCGACTTTGATGGGCATTATTGGTCCAGTATTTTTTTTGTGATGGAGACCGATGTTCGGGACACACAGAAAAATGAATCTAAAAACGTGGTAAGTGCTTCGCCTGTAGAAATGTGTTTTTGTCATGTGCACAGAAATCTACAAGACCAGGTACGTAAATTTGTCTGGCATTTAATTGATTATTAGGTGCCTCGTTGTTTGAATTCCCTTACCACTTTATAGACATATGTTGCCTCAGAATATGATTTTCTTTGTTGATTTGTCTAGATAGATTATGTTTCATGAATCCAATACCAAGTCAGCAGTCCACATGACTTCATGACAGTCATGAAGCTTGCAAGGTGCCAAATGCAGATTGGGGTTTGTGGTCACTGCAGTTTTTTGTTGCACTCTGCATCCAAGCTGCGAAGTGTGGCTTATTCTCACGTCATTGTTTTTTTTCCTTAAAACTTGATAAAGGCTTGCTAACATTGCAACATGACAAAGTAGTTAACAGGTATGACATAATCTCTTTGTTAGGTCTTATTTCTCTCTAATATTTATTACTGGCTACCTGCCTCAGCATGTGCCCTTGATTGATGTGATTATATTGCCCAACTGTGGAAGTGATGTAGTGTGTTTATGAGAAATTTAACATAAGTAGCATTGTATAAGATGAGTATGATCAGAATAAGCATTAAAGTTGGTCATGTTGTTACAGATTCATGCTGTCTTTTATTGGAAAATTTACTTGAAACACTTGGAATTTGTTTAGGTTTCAGTTTGCATTATTTGAGACTAATCTGTATCCTGTGCCAATGAAATAAGTTTTGACTAATATATTGTGCCTGCATCAGTGCAGTCTTAAGGCTGTAAATGCAGCAAATTGGGGTGAGATGTGCTCATGCTAATGCATATAGCTCAGGTAGTATATGAGAGTGATAGATAGTAATGATGATGTGGTGGTAAGCCTACATTGTGTCACTCTCAAGATTGTGTGTCATTCAACCATTTAATCTTGTCATTATGACCTTTTATTCTTCTGAAATATGTGGCAAAAGTCAAAATGGGTAATGATGAATAAAAAGGAAATATGTAGCTGGCCTATTGCTGTTGACCATCATAGCACCATCATATGAAAGTAATTAAGCATGCATTATGTGTATTATGGATTTGTAATAGATCTAGCCAGATTTATCATGCCAAAGATGAAATATGTTATGGTCATGTAAGCTCACATGAGCAGATTATGTGGCAATTGATGAGCATTGCACCCAGTCATAGCCTATGAATACTGTCTGCCATGAACAAAATACACCCTTGGGATTGGAGTTTTGGCTAAGGACAGATAGCTTATCGCATGGACATGGTCCTGAGATACCAGCAAAGCATTTCCAGTCAGTATGCTTACTGTCAGTCATTGTTACCTGCCTTCTTTCCCCATAACCATCCACCAGCTGATCAACCTTGATGAGTCAAATAATGGGATGAAATTTTGCAGGTCTAAACTAACTTGGCCTGACCTTTGTTTTCCCTAGTGTTCATGTGTCCCTATCACTCTGTATATGATTCATTTCTAAGATAGAAATCTACATGGTGTTATTGGTGCATAAATTATGGATTCTAAAAATGATTTATTATGGATCCTACATTTTGGCAGTGTTGTTGTTCAATTTGTGTGAGGAGAATATTAAACATTGATGAAAAGAGGGAGTTTCAACTTGATATGCAATATTCACCTCATATTTGGAATCATGCTTAACACCAGAAGATTGGTTCAAAAAGGTTTGTGTGTTCAGAACTGATAAGAATAAAATGGGTTCTATTTTGTGTCATATTATCATTCTTGCGTAACAATAATAGTGTGTCAACCTAACAGGATTGCAGGAAGCATTACCATAACAATGCCCAGTGATTTTTGTCATGTTTTTGCTAAGATATTTTGTGTGTACATCAATGACATCTCTGCAGATATGGTTTCCATGTGTTATGAATAACCTGAAATATGTTTCCTTCACATACTTAAATGCCTGCAAAGGTAACCAGTACAGATTGCCCAGTATCCAGCAGCCATTGTATCATTTATTGCCCTTGATCTGCAGTACCTCAGGGCCTGTGCAATGTGTTGATTCATGCAATGCATCACTAGAATTAACAGACTTACAGCCATGAGGTATGAAGCACCCACCATCTCCCCTTTAGAGCTCACCTTGTGTTTGTGCCTTGCTGGCGACAGTGGGACTTGTTATGTTTCATGACACTGGGTGCATAGTGCAGACTGGTGGGAGTGACAATGGCGACCATGCTGCTGCAGTTGCCAATGACGGTGATGAGCCTGGACCCGCCGCGGAGGGAGCCGACGCCCCAGTATCTCACCGAGCGGGATGCCTGCCTCAAGTACTTTGAAAAATGGAGCGAACAAGACCAGGTCGAGTTCGTGGAATACCTGCTCTCACAAATGTGCCACTACCAGCACAACAACATCGACACGTTTCTCAAGCCCATGTTGCAGCGGGACTTCATTTCGCTACTGCCAGGTGAGTGCCTGAAGAACTGTCTACCTCTCAGCGGTGATGCTGTGACATATTCTGTACTACAAAATGTTCTTTGGTGCTCAAGTAAAGCTAGTTTAAAGGTGCTCCTGTACCAGGAAAAATAATTCATTTAAACTTCAGTCACATTTTTTCTTTGTCAAGTGTGATGGACCACCAGATACATTGTAACCATTAGGCACTTTCTGTGAGCAGGACTGCTGCTGGTTATGGGTATGGCAGGTATGGTGGGACCATAACCCCCTCGAGTTATGTTGTTTAGGCCAGCACCAGGTCATGTTTTGGAGACCCGTAAGGCCGAGTGGCCGTGTCGCAGACTGCGCTCGATCTCCAAATCGGCACCGGTACATTCTTTACCTTTCTGTCATATGAGTGATCAAATATCAGAATTACATCCACTTTTGTGAACTATCATCTCAAGATGATCAGCATCGCCGATTTGTGTGAAGGTGGTTGGCAATATCAATTGTGACAGCACAACCACCCCATAGATAAGTGACAATTGATGCTGCGTCCTGGAAGCCACATCTTTTTTCCATCCAGTTATGCTGCCAGGCAGTGCTGGTCAATAGCGGTTGTATGAATCCCACCATCAGCATTGTATGAACGCACCCAGCACTGTCTCTGTTTACATGGCCGGCCCGTGTCGCGTCAGCTTCTCCGGTTAAAAACACACGCCGGTGACATATGCCAGCGCGCCAGCCCGGCGCTCCCGTCTTCGTCGCATGCAGGGGCTCGTAGGCGTCCCCGCTGTTTCGATAACTGAACCACGTAGAACTAAATGCCAAGTGGCGTGGGGGGGGGGGGGGGGGCTGCTTGACACTTTCTGTAATAGGCTAATGCAGGCTATTGTGGTCATATCGGTGTATCTAGGACCCTCGCTTTATCCCAAGAGCCGCACTACCGCACCGGGGGAAACGGCGCGGTGCAGTTACGGGTTGACTGCTGCAACATGCGTGTGTATCGGTGATTTCGACACTTGCATCGCACACACATCGGCGGCTGTGGCCTTTAACATCCTAAATTGACTCAAAAGTTCAAGACAAGTGTGTGGAGAGGCCCGTCACTCGCTTCAAAACTAAGCACGTTAAGGCAATGAAATGACGGATTTTAAAAGGCATGCCAAATTGCTCCAAGTATTTTTCTAGACATCAAATATTGTGATGTAAGAATGTAATCATTTTCTGCATTTGCCTTGGCTGACTGCAGGGACTGTCTGTGTCATCACGTGGTTACGTTGATTAGGGCATGGAAATACGGAGCGTTGCTTAGACAAGCGCATTTTAGGCAAACAAGAAGGCTATTTGACGCCTAGAGGTGTGTAGGACTCCACGACAGCCGGGGGGGGGGGGGGGGGGGAGGGGGGGAGGCGGGTAGGCGGGTGGGGGCAGGGGGAAATATTGAAAATTTGAAGTAACAACTGGGCCTTCAAACTTCACATATGACGTAAAGAGTATGGAGGCGCGGGCATCGAAACTTGACACGCTCAAAGCAGTCTAAAAAAAAAAACATTTCGTAAGCCCGTTGAGAGCTCCACAGGGCGACGCCAACCCGAGGCGGTGACCTTATCGTCCGTGGAGAGTCAAGGGGAGGGGGGTACCGGTCCATAGCTTTTATACGCTGTCACAACCTGTTAACATACGGAGACCGAACAGTATGCCGCACATTGGGTCCGAGATCCTGTGCGTGGCTGGAACCAAGCACGACCGAGAGGTTGTGAGGCACTGGCGTACCCCTCGGCCATAGGGAGCATTGCTCGCGTTGCTTTGTCGCGGACTCCGTGCGGTGTAGGGCGTGGGTGAGTCACAAACAAGCCTCTGCACAAGTCATTTCCAGAACGTGCTGGCCGTGCGTACCACAGGAAAGCAAAGCACAAACAGGATGACGGCGTGGTGTTCAGTAACGGTCTTTGCAGCCATCTGCAAGGCGGCAATTTAAACCTTTTCAGTCGTACCTGCAGGCAAAGCCCAGAAAGCTATGGTCGGAATCACCTGGCTAGCACTATGTTTTGCGTGAACGCCTTGATGAGGCTAGAACGCGACGAAATGACAGTGTGAGCTGGAGACTTCCGTGTTGCGTTTGCGGTAACTCAGGATTACGGCTCTGCAAGTTGCGATTACAGTATCAGGACCGGACGATTAACTGCATGCAGATGAGGTTGAACACGAGTGCCTCCATTTCGAACATTGAGCTGCCAGATTTCCGGGTGGATAAATATCTTGGGAGTTTCTTTGTGCTCGGAATCTGCCAGAAAATGAGGTTCTATATATGCAGCGGAAGGTCGGGTCTCTGCGCATGCCATATGGAGTCGGGTATGTCGGCCAGGGCTTGCCGAAAGGCTGTCCTCCCAGGAGCTGTTTTCAGCCGGCGTTACCGGCGCCATGCATGGCCTCCGTCTTCGTCCCCATTCCTGATCGAAGGGCATTCATTGTCTCTTGTCATCGTCGTGTGTCTGTCTGGGGCGGGAATGAGCCGCGGAACGCTCGGCTGGCTTGTCAAGGACATGCCCTGTACTCGAAACGCTGGCTAGGCCAGGCCGTTACCCCCCTGTGCAGGCTGGCTGCTACAGGTGCGATGGGTATCGGATTTCGTCGACACTTGTGTGTGCCGAATTGTTGTTGTATGGCATCGTTTGTCGCTTCGGTGCATTTAGATAGCGAACTACGGGTGGGGCGAAAAAGAGCCACCTGTTTCGTGTCACATGTGCAGCAGAGCTCATGGCGTGAACCGGTTGACGCCGCAGTCGTGGCGGCTCGGGAATTTTATGTGAGTTGGGAGCCCCCGTCTTGCATTCTGTAATCATGATGGTAATACGGTTTGATTTTTAGCGTGGTAAACACATCGCAGCGTGTTGGACTGCAGACCGTTTTTCTCATGGTGAACGTGTGTCGCAAAGAAACTTGATGCGCGAATAATTGCTTAATGATGAATCGTTACACACGTGGCTTCCTGGTGAGAGGTTTCCACACCAAAGCTCCACCACGCACCAGTGGCTGCACAGCGGCCAGCTGTTACAAGCCGCCGTGAGTGACGGTCCCGAAATCCGCAGCGTAGCATGGCGTTTGGTCTCTGACTTGTAATGATGTAACTGTGGCGAGTGAAGTGCGGTTAGCCAGCAAACGAACAGCGTAGTGGCCACCTGCCAACATATATCGTTTGCCCCCCCCCCCCCTCCCCCCTTGAAATAAAGCACAGGTGATCTTGAAGGCAGCCGGGTATCTCAATGGGATATTTATTTGACTGTGCCGAAAAAGTCGCTCGACATTGAAGTTCAAACCATCTTGCAAAGAGCATGTAGGTGTGATGATATTCCTGACAGCAGCACATAATGGAAACTGAAGTGGCGACCGATGTCACTCGAGTGCAGTGACACTCGGGTTCGCCTTGTGTCACAGGAACATCACTTTTCTTCAACCTGCTGTGCCGTTGGATAAATGGCGATATGTACAGCATATGTGTGATGTTGTTCCGAATGATGGCATTTCGTGGGAATGGACAATTTGGCATCAAGGTGTTTGTTGTTTGGCAGATTTGAGTTGTTCCGTCATATTCGGTTCATTTCATTTCGCGTTCAGCCCAGCCGTGTTTTGATGGCGTAATCAATTCTGATACGATATTTTTCGTCGGCGTGTGCAGTATAAAGCATTCACTATTGGAGCTCCGTCCAACATTCACGCCTCGGCAGTCGTAGCGTCCTTTCATTGCCGGATCCAGATCAGTTTCTGTGTCGACACCCGGGTTGTGGGGCCGTTCGTCGCGCGTGCCGGCCGGTTCACTGACGCACGCCACGCGCCGCGCTCCGCCGCAGACAAGGGCCTGGACCACGTGGCCGAGAGCATCCTCTCGTACCTGGACGACCGGTCGCTGTGCGCCGCCGAGCTAGTCTGCAAGGAGTGGAAGCGGGTCATCAGCGACGGCATGCTCTGGAAGAAGCTCATCGAGAAGAAAGTGCGCACCGACCCGCTCTGGAAGGGCCTGGCCGAGCGGCGAGGATGGTACGTCCCCCCCCCCCTCCCCCCCACCTCCACTTCCCGCTCCTGATGTTGACTCGCTGTGATGCTGTCAGCGCTCAAATGCGCGGCTGTCCTACAGCTCTGGGCCATTGAACAGTTGACTGCGGGTTCTACTGCCTGCACTTTGTTCAATTCCGTGGTCAGGTTGAAATGGACTTCACTGACTGCCCGGCAATAGTACGCTATCAGTTGCTGCTGCACATTGATTCATGTGTAACGAGTGGCTCTGAGAACTGTGCACTTTTTCAGGGGGCAATACTTAGGGAAACCAAAACCCGGCCAAGCACTTCCAGATCATCAGAAATATAGGAAACTATACCCCAAAATAATTAAAGACATTGAGGTAAGAAAAACGTGTTTATGATCGTGTGAAATTCGTGGTGTGTCGCCAGCATGTTCCCATAAAACATCCCAGCCATGACTTCAGCGACTTTTATGCCACCCGCATGTAACAATGTACAGTGCCCGTGGGATGTCGATATCGTATATTGCTCTTCGCCTAGCTAGCAGCTTATTGTTGCCAGTCACGATCCATGCGACATCAGTTTGTGGGAGGGAGTCTGACCCTTCGCTGACCATCGCGTTCTCAGAGTATAGAAAACAACTGGAGGACGGGCAAGCACAACCTGCAGCGGATAAACTGTCGTTCGGAGACGTCCAAGGGCGTCTACTGCCTGCAGTACGACGACAAGAAGATCGTCTCTGGCCTGCGGGACAACACCATCAAGATGTGGGACCGCGACTCGCTGCAGTGCACCAAGGTGGGCTGCTCGGCGGCCGCCGCCCTCACGGGCCGCATAACTGGATCGGCCCTTCCACCCAGAGCGTGGTGTCTTGCGTACAACAGACCCCTCGAGCATAACACGAGATTGGCAGCCGGACATTGCTGTGGCCATCACTGTGCACACGCTCGTTAAAACAATGGATCCCCCTGTCTAAACACCTGAAGCTGGCACAGTCCCGACAAAGGTTATGAATTATTGCACCTTCTTGTTGACACGGTCAGCCGTATAAGCATGCCAGCTTCCAAACGCTTGCCACTTGTCAGCACTGGCTGGAGAAGCCCGCTGCTGCTGTACGATTAAGATATCGATCTGGGAAGTTGGCTTGTGGCGGTCACGTGCGGTGTCTGGCTGCACCTCCGTCACCCGCGCCGTCTGTCTCAGGTCTCTGTCCACATGTCTGGCGCCCAGACACCCGCCACTGAAAGGGTTCGCCTCATTCCCATCCGCCGCGTGTTGGCTTCGCTGGTGTTGACATAGTCCCCGTGGCACCTCCAGAGGAGGTGTCCACCGCTCCCCCCCCCCCCCCCCCCCCGGTACTGACTGAGCCCAGGCGGCGTCTCTAGAGCAGAAGGTGCCCACCCCACCGCTTTCGGTACTGATCTAGCCCCGCGGCGCTTCATGAGCAGAAGGTGCCCACCTCCCATCGCTTCCGATACTGACCGAGCTCCCGCGGCGTCTCCAGGGCAAAAGGTGCTCACCTCCCCCAGCCCCGGGTACAGACGAGCCCCGGGGGCGCCTGATGAGCAGGAGGTGCTCACCTCCCCACCCGCGAGTACAGATGAACCCCGGCGGCGCCTCCAGAGTAGGTGCTCACCTCCCGGCCCCCGTGTACAGACGAGCCCCGGCGCGCCTGCTGAGCAGAAGGTGCTCACCTCGCACGGTGCCCCGGCCTGACCGAGCCCCCGCGGCGTGCCCACAGCAAGTGCTCACCGGCCACACGGGCTCGGTGCTCTGCCTGCAATACGACGACAAGGTGATCATCAGCGGCTCCTCGGACGCCACCGTGCGCGTCTGGGACGTCAACTCGGGCGAGCTGGTCAACACGCTGATCCACCACTGCGAGGCCGTGCTCCACCTCCGCTTCGCGCACGGCATGATGGTCACCTGCTCCAAGGTGAGTCACGCTCGGCCGGCCCGGGTCACGCGCTCCGGAGGTCGTGATCCTCCGGCGGAGGGGCTGCTCAAGCGTGTGTCATTACGGCCGAGGGCGGGGACGGCGGCTGAATGTGGACACTCGGTGTCGAGGTCGTTCAGACAATGAAAATCGGCGAATTAGGTTGTTAGACGAGATCAGTTGAAGTGTTGGGCGCTGGTCTGTCGCGGCGGCTAGCGTAGCGGCGTTTGGGGCAGGGTTTGGGTTATCGTTTTTGCCTCGCCCGGGGGGGATCGCGTTATGCCCGGTTGCCGAGGGATTCTCAGTTCACGTTGGGCGGCTCCTCTATATGTCTGGGTGCGTGCTGGGGCCTGTTGTCGGCGCGTAGGGTGGTCCGCTACTGGGCCACATGGTACTGGACCAACAGCTACGGCGGGCTGTTTTCCGATCGCGCCAGCTGTATCGCACCTGAGGCAATAGCCTACGTCTGCTCCAAACGCTGCTGCGATATGTAATGTGCCGCCGATGCTGGTTTGCGCACGTGTTCTGGTGTCGGCTGTGCCGTCTGCGGATCCACGCGGTTGCGACGTGGGTGCTGGTCTGCGCACGTGTCCTGGTGTCATTTGCTGTGCCGTCTGCGGATCCACGCGGCTGTGACGTGCCGCCGGTGCAGATCTGTGCACGTGTCCTGGTGTCATTTGCTGTGCCGTCTGCGGATCCACGCGGCTGTGACGTGCCGCCGGTGCAGATCTGTGCACGTGTCCTGGTGTCATTTGCTGTGCCGTCTGCGGATCCACGCGGCTGTGACGTGCCGCCGGTGCAGATCTGTGCACGTGTCCTGGTGTCGTTGGCTGTGCCGTCTGCGGATCCACGCGGCTGTGACGCGCCGCCGGTGCTGGTCTGCGCACGTGTCCTGGTGTCGGCTGTGCCGTCTGCGGATCCACGCGGCTGTGACGTGCGGCCGATGCTGGTCTGCACACATGTCCTGGTGTCGGCTGTGCCGTCTGCGGATCCACGCGGCTGTGACGTGCGGCCGGTGCTGGTCTGCACACATGTCCTGGTGTCGGCTGTGCCGTCTGCGGATCCACGCGGCTGTGACGTGCGGCCGATGCTGGTCTGCACACATGTCCTGGTGTCGGCTGTGCCGTCTGCGGATCCACCCGGTTCCCCGGTGCCGGCGTAGGTGTCGGCCGGATGACCCTCCTGGTGCCGCTCTCGGCCGTCTGGGGCCAGAGACGGCGTGTCCCTCCCGTCTGACCCGTGTTGAGTGTCAGAAGGCGAACATACGAACCTACGCACATTGAGTCGCCCGCATGGGCTCGTACGCCGAAAACAACGTAGTTTACCCGAAGCGATCTGTTATAAATGCCTCCAGAATCGACAGATGCGATCGCAGTTTGTGCAAGTTACGAATTGGTACGGTTCGTGTGTTAGTGTTGTAAGCTACGCCGTGGCTGTGTGACCGTACTGAGGTGCGGCTTACCAGACGCGCCGCCGGCGACACCCGTCTCCTGTACTCGTGCTCCCCGGGATCGGCGCCACTGCTGGCAACGTTGTGGCCCCGACTGCAGGCGGCCACTCGGAGCCGAAATATGCGGTCGACGGGTATTCCAATGCCGCAACAACTTTCCAATGTTCAGAGTATTCTAGTGCCTGCCGGAAAGACACCAATGTAGTTGTAAAAATAGTTGCTGGCGCGAAAAAGTTGCAAAATGGTCCCAAGCTGGCTGGAAGTTTGACGCTCTTTGGCGCGAGGGCAAATTATATCGGATGATATCTTTGGCGCAAATCACATCGAGTACTTCTGATTCATTGGTAGTGGGCTGGATTGCTGGAGAGACAACTGGGACACGATGTCGGTGGACGGCTGATCGTCCGAAATTCGACAAGGGTCGTGTTAATGGCATAACATTTTAACATTGCCGGGATTTGGGAGGAAATAACAAAATGTGTTACCCATATATCGTGTATTTTTCCGCCGGGCTCAGTATTTGAAGTTGTCTGATGTGTATACGCGGCAAAAAAAAGATGGATTTCCCGAACTGGCCTTCGGCAGTGGTTTATTTAATTGTTCTGATGTTCTCACAATCCGCAGCGCATTTGAAAATTGGGTGATTGGGTATCCGTCTCGGTTGGCATGCGCTCACCCAGATGCATTGTTGGCAACTGATGCCTAATTTTCTAATGGAATGCTCGGGTCTTCATACCTGAATATTTCAAAACCTCAACCAAGGCGATGGGTTATCTTCAGCCTGGGCGCCAGTAACGCGTGGGAATATTGAGTCATCTGTGTGTGTTGACTGCATAACCCAACATCATCAGAGCCGATAATACCCGTGAGTAGCCTGCGACGCCTGTCCGTGTCTCCGCACGCGTACCGTGTCATGTGAGCGAGCGCCCAGTGACGGCCGACGCCGGCTCGTCCGCAGGACCGCTCCATCGCCGTCTGGGACATGGTCTCGCCGACCGAGATCAACCTGCACCGCGTGCTGGTCGGCCACCGCGCCGCCGTCAACGTCGTCGACTTCGACGAGAAGTACATCGTCAGCGCGTCGGGCGACCGCACCATCAAGGTGGGAGCGCGCCCGGCCGGCGGCCGCCCTCGAATGGGGTCACGGCGGCCGGCGCCGAGCGTTTCCGGCCGGCCGATCGATGCCGAGGGGGCGCGATGGGGAGGGACTGGGGGAGGCGCCGCGCATGTGATGGGCCGGCCGCCGTTGGGAGGCCGACACGTGTGACTGGGGTTCAGTGGGGCCGGAGCGGAGTGGCCCTGACTCCGGAGGGAGAGGGGCGGAGCGGGGCAGCTCTGCTCCGGAGGGAGGGCTGAAGGGGGGGGGGGAGAGCGGGGCTCTGGCTGCGGGGGGGGGGGGGAGAGGGAGCGGGCTCTGATTCCCGAGGAGGGGAAGCAGCGGCGGGGCGGGCCTCCGGCTCCGGAGGTGCGATTAGAGTGAACTCGCCTTGTTTCTGCCGTTACCAATACGTCTCGCGGTGTGGTTTCATTGCGTCGACCGGTGACATCGGTCGACACGAACAGTGACAAAGCCAGTGTCATACGGCCGCTGGGTGAGTGTGGTGCAACGGCGACCCAGCCCCTCCACCGCCCAGTCACGCTCTGTCAGCGCATCTGTGCGGCGCCGGCCTCTGTCCAGATCCGTCCCCGTTGCGCAACCGGCCGGCGTGGGCCGGCGGCGCCGTCTGACACCGTGCTCGCCCGGCCAGGTGTGGAACACGTCCACGTGCGAGTTCGTGCGGACGCTGTCGGGCCACAAGAGGGGCATCGCCTGCCTGCAGTACCGCGACCGGCTGGTGGTCAGCGGCAGCTCGGACAACACCATCAGGTCAGCCGGGCCCACGCCCGCGGGCGGGGGCGGGCACGGCCGTACCCAGGCGCTGGCGTGGCCCCGTCAGGCGCTGCTATCACGTCGACAAGTGTCGATCGCCGCCGTCTAGTTTGGACAGGGCGCGAATTCGGCTCGCTCGCCACGATATTCAACTGGCCGGCACTCGTGAGCTGCTGGGTACGCGCCTGCTCGGCATCTGCATCGCTCGGCGAGCGACGGCGCTCAGAGCGGCCTCTGCTCCCGGATGTGATCGTATGAGATGTGATGTAGATGCCGAAGTCGTGACGAAACGTGACGACCGCCCACTGGAGGCGGCCGGCGACCTTGGCCGCCGCCGGCAGACGGGGTGGCGCTGGGGACTTCGCTCGCATTAGGTGAACGCACTCAGTGGCGGCGGTAGCGCCGCACCCGCCAGGTGACGTCGACCCGGCCCATGATGCCGACGCCGCCCAGTGAAGCGTAGCGATGTCTGTGAAACCCGTTTGAGTTGATGGCGTGTTTTTCTCTGGCCGTTCCTGTTTTGTTGTGCTGCCGGCGGACACGTCACGCCCGGTGCAGGCTGGCTGCAGTTTGCGGCAGGCGCCTGGCCCCGGTGGTCGGGATCAGGTGGTCCCCCGCCTCCAATGACCCGGCTGGACGGACTGCGGACCCCCGCGGACCACCCCCGGGTGGCGTGTATCTCGGACGATCCAACCGGAGGGCAGCGTGTCCGCGGGTCGTCCCCGTCGCCCTCCCACTGGCCTGACGTGACCGGCCCGGCCGCAGGCTATGGGACATTGAGTTCGGTGACTGCCTGCGCGTGCTGGAGGGCCACGACGAGCTGGTGCGCTGCATCCGGTTCGATTCGAAGCGGATTGTCAGCGGCGCGTACGACGGGTGAGTCTCCGTTTACGGAGTGAGCCGCTCCGGCTCACCTGGTCCGGGATTGACGCCCGGCTCGCTCGTGCTTCATGACACGTTTCTTCGTGTTCTGTGGTAGTAAGATTGTGGTGTTCGTTTCGGGATGTTGCGTGCCGGGTGTGAGCGGTAATTGAGCTGGTTCCCTTCCGTCGTTGGTTATCGCGGCCGGCACGACGTGTCTGGCAGACAGTCTGCCATTGGTCTGTCTGGGAATCAATCTCAACTGTTCAACTATCTGGGTGTCCGTGATGACCCGAGCGGTGTTGACGGGCGGCTCGCCGGCGGCTCCTGATACAGCCGCGCCCGCCCACCCGTCTGCCCCGCCTGTGACGCCGCCGGCCCCAGTCCCCGACCCGTTCGACCGCGCGATCAGTGGAGAACGTGCCGTCCCGTCCGGCGGCTGGTGTGCCGGCCGTCGCCCCGGAGACCGGCGGGTGCGTGTGACACGCCGCTCTGCCCTGTTACAGGAAAATCAAGGTGTGGGACCTGCAAGCGGCGCTGAATCCGCGCAGCCCTGTCGGCTCGCTCTGCCTCCGTACTCTGGTGGTAAGTGTCGGTCTCGTGCGGCCCGGCCGGCGCGGGAGATGCGGACATGGTGCCGTGGAACATCGGACGGGTGTGAGAGGATGGCCAGAGCCGCGTCCCCGTCTGTGACGTGGTCTGGTGGAGCATGGTGCTGGTCTTCGCCAGTTCAGTCAGTGGCCGTCACAACTGCGAGCTTTGTGTCCAAGGGCCATGGCTCCGCGTGCCCTGGACACAGCCATGCCTGAGGCGCGTGTGACATGAACACGCCCGCCATCCTGCGGAACACCGATTGGCTGGTCTAGGGAGGACGCGAGCGGCGCGCGCGCACCTGTGAACAGAGGGCGCCTTCTGTGCATGTTTGTCTGCTACCCTTGTGTCACCGACCCGTGGTATCTGACCGCTCGTCGTCGTGAGGTCGTTGTCCATCGTTGTTCGGAAAGTGTTTGGTTTACGCAAGTAAGCCTTGTTTGGACTGCAGTGTTCCCCGAGAGGAATGATACTGCTCACTTTTGCCCAGCGTGAGGCAGCATGTTTTGGAAACACGTCCGCGTGAGAGGATATGACACCGCCTGCTGTGTGCGTCAGAACTTCTTATCGGGTTTGTTTGCCAGCGTTGGCGAATCTGGTCTGCATTGAGTGTCGCTCTACCGTGCCCTGTCGTCCACCGGCCGCCGCGTTCACCTGCGGTCCCTCACCCCCGTGCTGTGACGGGCGTGTCTCGTCCACCGGCCGCCGCCCTCACCTGCGGTCCCTCACCCCGTCCTGTGATGGGCGTGTCCCGTCCACCGGCCGCCGCCCTCACCTGCGGTCCCTCACCCCGTCCTGTGATGGGCGTGTCTCGTCCACCGGCCGCCGCCCTCACCTGCGGTCCCTCACCCCGTCCTGTGATGGGCGTGTCTCGTCTACCGGCCGCCACGCTCACTTGCGGTCCCTCACCCCCGTCCTGTGACGGGCCTGTCTAGTCTACCGGCCGCCACGCTCACCTGCGGTCCCTCACCTCCGTCCTGTGACGGGTATGTCTCGTCCATCGGCTGCCGCCCGCGCCTGACCTGACCTGACCTGACCCGCTCGGCGCCGCCCGGCAGGAACACACGGGCAGGGTGTTCCGTCTGCAGTTCGACGAGTTCCAGATCGTCAGCAGCTCGCACGACGACAGCATTCTGATCTGGGACTTCCTCAACTACACCCCGCCGACTGCGTCCGGCAGCCAGGAGATGGAGGCCGACGGCGGCGACGAGGGCGCCGCCGGCCTGCAGCGCGCCGTCCGCACCACACCCCTTGACCCCAACAGGTACCGCAAGTAAGTCGGCTCGCGCTGCCGCTGACCACGTGGCTCGAGACGGTGGCGGCGGCAGGCGGTCGTGGAAGGATCCGGCGGTGTCCAAGTTTACTTTCTTAATTTTATTGGAGGATTTCGTGGTATCGTGATTTTTCGCCATCTTTGGCAGTCGTTTGGGCGTGGGTGTTTTCTTGGGGTCCAAGCAGATGTCTGCACTGAACTCCCCTTTATAGCTGACCATTTGTATTCTCGTTCCGCCATCTATATAGCTGCCCCCCTATATTCCCGCCTCGCCTCCAATATAGCTAGGAAAACAAATGACAACCGGTGGGATGACACCAGTGATTTCGATACACAGCGGATTAGCAGGGATGTGTCATGTTTGAAGTTGACCTGTCTCACTTACCGGGTTAGTTTGAGGTACATCAGCTGCAGTGGCTGTAGTGCTCGTGGCTGTGTGGGATTCTCGAAAATACCATGGTGTCCACTGCAGGCTGTTTTCCATGGCACATAATTTGTGGTCAAGTTTATGGCAATTGCTTGTTATCGAAATGTAATGCATGAATGTTTGTGTGCCTCTTGGCATTTTGGACACATACCCAGTGATCCTCAGTGGCGCCGGATGTTCTCTTAACTGATCGACGTCTTGGTTTTTTATCCATGTTGTCGTGCATTCCTTTCAGATGTTTCGTTTCATGCGCAATCGGTTGTAGTGCCCCAAAATGTAGGGTAAAATGTATTGTCACTGACTTTTACCGGACGTCGTCATTTTCACTGCTTCCGAAAATCCCACTGTGTCATCATGTACAGCCATTCGTACCCAGCTAGCGGTGCGTATTCCCTGCCCGACCGCTCTGCGATTTCGCTTGCTCCGTTGCGTTCGCGGCGAACCGTCGGCACGCTTCTGCATCTGACGCGCCGCTCGTGTCCACAGCCAAGAGGGCGACGACGAGCTGATGTGAGCACTCTGCGCTCGGATAGATCTAGAAGACATTTTAACCTGGTTTATGTTACGTGGCGCGCCCGGACGGACAGCTGTGTGGTCGGGCGGTCGGCAGGCCAGACGAGCGGCCCGCCTGCAGTGATGCGCCGCAGTGGCCGGCGCGCGGCTCGCAGGGATGCGGGCGCGCCGTCCGCGCCGCCGGGCGTCGGAGAAGAGTCAGTCCGCCGCGCCGCCAAGTGTCGGCCGTCGCGGGGCGCGTGGTGCGCGCGGCCGTCCCGCTGGCGGCGGCTCGGCCGGGCCGTCGCCGGCCGAGCTGGGAGGCGGCGACGGCGTCAATGCGGCCGCCCGAGGAGGCGGCCCCAGCGCGCCGCCCGCGCGCCCGCCGCTCGACCCGCTCCGTGTGCGTGTGTACCTGTGGCGCGGCTGGCGTTTATCTATGTGACATTGTACACGGCGATAAATCAGGTTAATTCGATTGCGCACGTTTCGGTGATGCTCTGCGTTCGGGGGCGGGGAGTTTTCTTGTGATGCCGTGTGGCGCGCGTGCGCCGCTGTGTCTTGTTTTGCGTCGGCGGGCCGGTCGGTCCGCGGCCGTCAGGTCGCCAGGCGCAGCCGTTCATTCCGTGATGCCAGAATGTCGTCCGGCCGCCTGGGTTGTTGTCGACGTGTCCATGCGTGTGTTTGTGTGAGAGGGAGAGAGAGCGAGAGAGGGAGAGAAAGCCAGAGAGAGAGGAGGAGCGAGAGAAGGAGCGAGAGAAGAAACGAGAGAAGAAACGAGAGAAGAAAGAGAGAGAGAGAGAGAGAGAGAGAGAGAGAGAGATGAGAGAGAGAGAGAGAGAGAGAGAGAGAGAGAGAGAGAGAGAGAGAGAGAGAGAGAGAGAGAGGAGAGAGAGAGAGAGAGAGAGCGCAAGAGGGTAAGAGAGCAAGAGAGAGAGAGAGAGCGGGAGGGGGTAGAGGGAGAGCAATAGAGCGCGTCCGACCGGCCGGACCGGGCCAGCGGGCCTGTCCGCCATCTCTGCCGTCCGTGTGGCGGCGGTGCCAGCGAGTCGTGCCGCCGTCGCGATGGTGTTGTCGGACTGTCTGGGAGCACAGGCACTCACGCGCCCCGGCCGCCCAATCTCTCGTCCCACCCACAAACGGCCGCCGAGGCGCCCGGCAGCCGCCGCTCTTTCATCCATGTCCACACTCGTCCGACATGATTTGGCATTACAATAAATTGAGTTCTGCTCGACACTGCGTGTTTGCGGGGGCTGGGCTGTCGTCACGTGACGGCATGCTGACTGGTACTGCGGACTGGTGCTAGGGACGGGGCTTTTGTCACGTGACGGCGCGCTAACTGGTGCTGGGACTGGGCTGTCGTCACGTGACGGCGCGCGGACTGGTGCTGGGGACTCACGCATCGATCCTGCCGGGTCAACATGAACACTCCATGTTGTGCTGGCGGTGTCGGTACGGTGCCCGCGCGATGTACCGGCCGCTGTGTCGGTACCGACGGGCGTCGCTCTACATGTGTGGGACGCGACCCACCCGGCTCTGTACAGGTCGCCTCTCCGTGCCCCGCCCTGGGGCGATACGGACAGACGCTGCTGCGCAATGAAGCCACGCGACGCTTGACTCCCGGACGTGGCGCAGATAACAGCTGACCTGTGAATATCAGCTGGCGCGTCCGTCGGATACCGCAGCGTCGCCACGGCCTCCGCTTCTGTCACCGCGCGCTTGTGCGGCGCGGTGCCGCGTATTACGCCACCGGCATATCTGCCTTGCATGAGCACCCTCGTTCCCTTCGGGCCGTGACGGTTCCGGAGCCGAGATCTCGCGCTTCGGTGCCCCACAACCCGTGCGTGTTCTCACCGCCTGTCAAAGGGGGGGGGGGGGGGGCAACGGCACATGGTGCTCAAACGACAGACGCTTGCTTTGTTTTGCCTCAGCAGGATTTATTCGGACCCAGACGGTGCGTAGGGTTGATTTCGACTCTAAATTTCTAAATAAACCTCTAAATCAATTTCGATCTCTAAATTTGATTCTAACTACCTGGAGGGGAGTACGACTGCCATGCACATTATTTGCAGTTTTCTGAATTTTGGCTCAAGGTGCGAAAATTATTGCCTCGACATAGTCGTTCAGCATTCTCACATGTCCAAACGAAAAGATGACTATAGCAGTGCTTCTGGACCTGGCTGGTTCCGTTGTTTAATTCAGTATCAGCAACACTGGCGTAATTATGCCTAGCGTGAAACACATCGACGGGTAACGAACCTGTGCATTTCAGGTGCGCTGCGTACGGCTACTCAGAGGCAAGCGTTGTGGAGGTCGCTGGGCGCCAAAGGCGAGGGAGCGTCTCAGAAAGTTGGATTCCAAAGCAAACTTTAGAGTTAAGTCTTTTTAATGCGTTCCCCTAGGATTAATGCCCAGCATTCTCTTAAAGTGGGGAGCCATCGCACCCACACACCCGTACCAAGGATCCAAGGATGCGGAAACCGAGGAGGGGGGGGGGGGGGGCGTGGGAGCAGCTCGTTCCCCAGCTTGAAAGCTAGGGGCAGCATCCCCCAACTTGGCGAGCCTGTGAAAGGTCCGCTCTGGTATGTGAAGGACCCATTATAAACTTTTAAGAGATTATATCAGCCTGTTTAAGTACATCCTGACCTGTCAGACTCATTCTGGCATAGGTAAGGTCCATTTTGACCAAGAGGGTAATCTGAGCCTGTAGAGGGCTTATTCTGACCTGCAGAAGGACCATCATTGGCTATGGAGGGCCCATTCTGTCCTGTAGAAGCTTATTCTGATCTCTAGACGGTCTCTTATTGACGGTGGAGGGCCCATTCGGCCTTATAGGGGAGGCCAATATATTGTCTTAGAAAGCCCATTTTGACGTTTTGGAGTTAACCGCCCGAACTTGAACATAGTTTCCGCGCCCTGACCTGTACCCCTAATTCCTATGTCATTTTATACTTGCACTTAATTCCTATGCCTATTTATTGATTAATTATGCCGGGCAGTGTTGGTCTTGCAAACCCGAGTAGATCGTGCTCCTGATACCATAAAAGAGCGCTGGTCAGGTGGTGCCACCTGCTCACCTGTCAAGTGCTGCCATCTTACTTCTCATAGGATTTTGCAGGAACTAACGTACCATGACTCTAATGACTTGGAGAAGTTGGTTTTACAAATGCTGAGCGATGTGTGTAAGCTAACATCAAATGATTCCAAATATAGCAAAATGGAAGGACAGGTCTTGTAAAAATTTCGCTTTTAGTGTCTCGTCTATTCCAGGAGAATTGGCACAAGCACGAAGTGGTCTAAAATGGCATGCAGTCGGCAGCAACGATGGATTTGGTGGTGACATGCCTTGGATTAGTCGTCCCATCTGCGCCAATGGGATCTAGTAGTTTTGTAAATATCTGTGTTGGTGTATTGTGTGCAAGAGCGGGGGTGGCACGCGTCGGTGGCGCTATTTTTAGTGTGATATGGTTTTGTGGTGCTTCGCAAGTATAGTTCAGGTTTCATGATTTCATCAGTGTTGTGGCCTTATCTGGATATCAATTAGCTTCAGAATTAGGTGAGTTTAGAGCAACGGGAAGTTTGTGTCCATTTTCGTCTCTTGTTTACCATGCAATGCCATATTTAGGTCATCAAACAGCATACATATTTTCACAACATGTTTGTAAGGAGATCTTGTCATCAAGCAACAAGTTTTAAGTTTTGTGGATGAAGTTGTGCATGACTACACGAAGAACATTTTGGTATTAATGGACAAAATTTGCTATTGTTACTTGGATATGTATAAATTACAACTGTAATGAAAACATTCCAAAGACAAAGCCACAATCACATGTACAGTAGCTAATGCCTTCCTCATAATAACCCAAGAGCTGTGCAAGAATTTGTTTGTTTAAGGCTGGAGAGAATTTATTGATAAATACATTTAAATAGGAGGCATCTTCCTTCATTGCACTTCCAAGAGTGGCAGCATTGTTGCAGTTGTTGTGGCTACTTTGATGTTAATTTCCTGTCATGTTTGCACCACATGTTCCAGAGTTGCCTGTTGCCTAAGTGTATTGTCAAACATGGTGAGAGTGGTGTTGTGGTTAGGCGAGTGTAGTGTATTGTCCAAAGTTTGCAGCCTTCTAGGCTACATTTGAATGATACATGTCATGCATGCATTGAAGCATGCTGGGTTTGTCAGGACTGTTTCCCATAAGAAAGTTTGGGATTTTTTCTGTTGTGATGATAGATGAAAATGTAAGTTCTATGGTTCTGATCTCTTACATGTCAAGAGATGATTTCCTAGTTTTTTTTTTGTTTCTTTGTGGGCAATGCCATTTGATTTTGATGATACAGTTGAATGACTGATTGTTTGTTGGTCTTGTCATGGTTTGTTATCAAAGTGTCTTGTCATAAGCTGTTGTATTTTGTTTTCATTGTCAGATTTTAAAAAAAAATTGTTCAGCAAGATCTGTCTGATTCATACCAGTATTGAATGTAAGCCTGTTTGAGCAGAGCAATGCTTGAATGCATATCCAAGGAATGATCTTATGACACTAATTGGTAGTCTGTAGGGACATTTACTGTTAGGATGGAAGCTCTGTCTGTTGTGTAGTTTGCTTTTGCTATACAGTTCTTCCAAATTGCTTTTATTGACCATCAACATTCACACCAAGAAAATGTGCTAAATTTTTCATTCTTAGTTCTGCTGTGAATGTCAAGCCATACAGCTCTTTGAATGCATTTTTAGGATGTTCTTGTTTGTTGGTGTCCCTGACCTCTGCAAATATATTGTGTACATGATAACAGTAAAGTCTGGTCTTATGTTGTCATTTTGTAGTATGTCAGCTTCTACATGCCCCCATAGAAATAAGAGAATGAAGGTCAAGGAGAAGAGCCTATCACACCCCCAATTCAGCAATACATTCATCCTTCAGGCCAGTGAAACAGTGTGCAGGCTTTAAGGAAATGTCCAAGAAGGCACAGTGACATTTTGAGAGTAGGAATTTCAGGATAATTGTATATGAGATTGATGATGATGGATATGGTCACATCAGTGGGAGTGTTTTAAATTTATTTTTAACATCTAGAGAGGCTGGCAGACAATAAGGTTGATGAGATGGCATGATGTCAGCAAATTCATCCATTAATGATAATCTCTGGGACATGGGAAGATATGGGGACAGAAGACCATTAAGACCCTTTGCAGTTAGTTCTTTAAGTTGGTGAAGGGATCTGCAAAACTGCTGGATGGGCCAGTTGCCACTTTTGTAAGTTATCACAGACCCATAAGTGTAACCAGTCATGAATTCACTTGTTATCTGGGAGAAGTGTATGCCATCAACAATGGCATTAGCAGCAGTGATGAGGCTGTTAGGCTTAGTCTTGAGTGTATCTGTGTATACACACACGCACACACACACATGCACACACGCACGCACGCACGCACGCACGCACGCACGCACGCGCGAACGCACGCACGCACGCACGCACGCACGCACGCACGCGCACACACACACACACACACTGCATGTGGATGTACTCGTGCGGGGTCGGTTCGATGAGCGGAAGGTATTTCACAGTACCCGGGAATGACACTAATCTCTCTTTAGCTACCGACTGACACTAATCATATGACATTCTTGGCTGGTGGGAAACGAATATTCCAATTTATTGCATGTTTTTGTCCGCCCTTGCAATAATCGATGACTGGTCTGGAATGTCGTCTCTGGTCGTAAAACTAAGGACTGGCGATCGTGAACGTAGATTCTCGAAACAAATGGCTGGGAAAATGGGTTTCGACTTGCAGGATGGCAAGGGCAAATGGACCTTGGATCAAATGGTCGGCTTTCGGCATCTGGGAGGTGGAAAAAGTGGCCATCGGATGTGTGACGTCACGCGGGTTATGTGCAGTTATCTTGGTTAGGACGTTATGTGCGGAACGCGCGGAACATTCTTGGCGCCCGGGATCGCGGAGCGAGCAGCTGTGTCTCGGCGGCCGGAGCGCCAGTCTCGGTCCCGAGGTGGTGCTGTCGATGGGCACCAGGTGCACGTCGGGAATGATAATGATAATGCTAATGATAATCCTCGGGTTTGACGGTCGGCCGCCCTGCCAAGCTGTTGATGGCGCGATGTTGATGGCGGGAATCAGACTGAAGCTTACGTGTTCTGGTCATCGTCGTTCATGCTTTGCGACTGGTCATTCTCATGCGAGGCTCGTTCGTTCACCATGCGTTCCTGCAGTTAAATGTTCCGAGCCACAAAAATAGTGTGCCGTCTTTTTACGCTGTGCGATTGTGTAATGAATTGGATGGTGGCAGGTTCACCCACAGAAAGGCGGAACACGATGTAGTAGAGTGGATAGGCGTTTCATTTTCTTATTGCTGTTTGTTTTCGCCGACGCTGTTTGATATTAAAGCTGACTTTGAACCGCCATGTTAATCATCGTGTGGAGCTAATTTGTTTTCCTCTGTTATTTGTTTGCTTCATTTTGGTACATGTGTGATCGTTTGCCTTTCTTGGCGGTGTTTTGTGGTGGTTGGCTTTATCAAGCCTCGCTTAAGTAATTGAAATCAACAATTTAAATTATCCCGACATGTTTTTACTTTGAGCTGAAGGTGGTGACCCGCGTGGTTCTCTCGTATTGATGACTGCTTGTTAGACAAATTATCTCAGCGGGCCACTAATTTGTTAGCCCCTTTGAGGTTTCAAACAGCCTGTGTAGCGCTCATTAGCAGATGTTTTTCCCAGCCATATGTTCCGTGATATAAGACCGAGAACGGCCCCAATTTCTTAAGAACTTGTTTCGTCGAAATCCGTGGATCCTGAGCTCTGCAACCCTCGCCTCCAAGGTCAGAATGCTTGGTACTTTCCGAGGTATTGAGGTATTGGGAAGTTTGTTTTTAAAACGTTAGACACGGCCGTAATTCGGACGCGGGAGTACTCAATATTCATATCCTTATGGTCTCCACGGCGCTGCAGTGACAATTTACAACGCTTTTTTGTAGACGTGGCTGGCTCTGAGTTTTCACCGGAGTATGTTTTTGAAACAAACCGCAAAGGTGGGCACTCCCTGTAATGATTTAAGACGCAAATTGTAGCCCAATGTGATATTCAGGCTTCATCTCTATAGCCGGTGTAGATTTTTCTGAAAAAGAACGTTGCCTTCGGCTTTTGCAGTGTGTTGTGTGGGCCCGTACCGTTGGCCTTACAGGCGAAAATACGATCTACCGTTAGGCCTACTCGCTCGCACACACTCCCAGCGGCACGGCGCGCGTGTTGGTGGCGATGGTGTTTTCTTATTGCCGAGTATGATATCAACTGACGTTTGAAGATGCAACTTATCTCTCAATATGGTGCCGGAGGGATTATCTCGTCAAGTGCGAGTCGTTTAAAAAAAGGAAGTCGGCTTTGTGTGTCGAAGTGTGTTTTGCGTCCGCGCTACCTTAGCCATAAGGGCGAAAGTGTCGTTAAGGAGAGCGTTCCACAGTTGTATGTTTTTTTTTAACTGAAATGGCTATCTTGAAGACAATTCGCTGCAGTGCACAGCCCTGCCCTTCCTAAGACGTAAATCTCTCTGGTTTCTGAGCTACACGCCCGCGAAGAACTGATCCGGTGAATTATTCCAGCTGGTCACCAGAAGTATTTCTGAATTGCTCTGCACATTAAGTGGACTTGAATAAGCATTTGTCTGATTTTTAGAGCTGAAATGCATGTTAAATTGTCAGATGAGAGTATGCCAGGAAGAGCTTTGAGACAAGTGATGCTATGATTTGTTTAGTACACATACCAGACTTCTAGAGGGAGCAGTGGCGAACTTTTCGACTAACCTGTTTCTTTGGGCCTCGGGCCCGATGGCGGCGCGCGTGCGCCTACATCTCACCTGTTTACTCTGGCGGGCAGCGGGCGGCGTGAGTCAGCCCCGGCGGCCGCCGTCGCCACCGGGAGAGAGCGCCGCCGTCCGGGCGGCCGGCCAGTGCTGTGCCGGTCGCCGCCAGCAGCGGACGCGCGAGACCCGCGCGCCATGGACGAGCGGCGACAGAGTGGCGGCGGCGAGGGCCGCTGCGTGCTGCCCGAGGGCGGCGCGCGGCCCGCCATCGTATACCCGGAGAGTGAGGAGGGCCGCGGCCGCACGCCCGGCGCCTCGTGCCAGGCGCTGCGGCTGGCCGTGGCTGGGCTCAGTCGGCTCGACGACTTCACCATGGAGGCGATCGGCCGCGGCTTCTTCTCAGAGGTGTACCGGGTAAGTGATGTGGCTGATAGCCCCTGGCCGGGGCACGTGGTGCGGCCCGAGCAGCGTTGGCTGGTGACCCTGAAGGGCGTGGGTAGTAGTGATAATGTGTAATGGGTTGTCTGTTGACGAGTGTCACTCTGAATTTCGTTTTGGCTTTCCCCGTCGCGCCTCTGGCACTAATGCTGCTTGTGCTCAAACCACCCCCGTCCGCCGTCTGCGTGGCTTATGCGATCAAGGGTCAACTGACACTGTTTTCAGTCGTCAGTTGCTTGCGTCAGGTTGCCACGTTCTTCATACACTTGTGTAAACAGCGTGGCTTTCAGCCCGTAGTGGTGGTGAGCTTGAGCCTGAAGTCGACTCTTCAGGGATTTCGCAGCGGTACTGCTGCGTCTTTGCTTCAGTGTTGAGCGCTGTCTTGTTTGTCGCTTCTGCTAACATCTTCAGGCGCCACCACACTGGAATGTAGCCTCCGGATTATTTGCGTTCTGACGGAATCCGGTCTCACTCTTCCATCATTGTTTTTACGGGATCACGGACCGCGGTGCGCCGGCCAACTCTGAGATCACTCTCGCCACGTAAGCCCGCCCGCACAGCTCGCCGCTGCGCCTGCCGCGCCCGGCCGCGCGTCACGGCGAGCCGGAGGTGCTCGCCCCGGATTTGAGCGGTGGCCGGGCCGGTCCTGAGCGGCCGGCGGTGCCGCTCACAGGACCCCTCCTTCCGGCTGCCTTCGTCCGTCCAGCGGTGCAGCTGGCCGACAGCCGAGCGACGTGCCGCCGCGCCTCCCGCGATAGTGCAGGCGTTTACTGGCGCGCGGCCCGCCGCCGCCGACAATGAGGATGGCCGAGCCGTGCGTCGCTTCCGCCGCGCGCACCGGCCGCGCGCGCGCGCGCTGGAATGTTTGCGCAGGGCGGCCGCCGCAGCCGTGCCAGTCCTGTCGGCTCCCCAGCTGATGGGCTGGGCGGCGGCTGCACAGCGGCTGCCGGCGGGAGAGACAGCTGTGCATGCACCGCGGAGTGGACGGCGGGATGGAAGGTGCCGGGACGTCAGTGATGGAGGAGGGCGCCCTGCAGCCAGCTGTGCATGCACCGCGGAGTGGACGGCGCGATGGAAGGTGCCGGGACGCCAGTGATGGAGGAGGGCGCCCTGCAGCCAGCTGTGCATGCACCGCGGAGTGGACGGCGGGATGGAAGGTGCCGGGACGCCAGTGATGGAGGAGGGCGCCCTGCAGCCAGCTGCGGATAATCTGCTCTCTTTGTAATGGCTGCAATACGGGTGTCGCGAATCCAGAGGTCGTTGGCGTGAACAGATTTCGTGGATGACATCAAGAGATAGCGTGGGCTGGGTTGGTTTGGATTTAACGTACGCTATGAACAATCCTCTTGTCCATTCGCTTAGACGAGGAGCAGAAGGTATTACACAGATATCGGAAGATCAGAAAAGAAACCGTGACGGCGTTCTGGCACAATGCGATAGCCGGCGCCACCGGCGTCGGCTATCGCCGACGCCGGCGATCGCGCACATCTGGGAAAGCACCATCAGCAGGGGGCTGGACGGTCCGCTCGGAGAAACTCCGTGTCGAGATGGTTGTGCCGGCAGAGAAGCGCGGCCTGGCGCGCTGGATCCGGCCGTCACGGCTGACCAGTCGTGGCCCACAAACGGCCGCGGCCCGGCCCGGCCGCGGCCCGGCCCGGCCCGGCCCGGCCTAGCCCGGCCGCCGCCGCCGCAGCCCACCGGCCCGAGAAATCACCGCGATGTTCCGTCAGCAGCGCCCACGGTGATGTCAGGCGCGCGGTGCCCACCGCGACGGCGGCGGGTGGTGGCGGTGCATCGACGCTGTGCCGTTCCCTCCCGCCCGGTCCGTGAAAGTACCCGACCGTCATCGGCCCAGCCGTCTCCGCTGGCTTTCGACGGAAGTCAACACCGCCGTCTCAGCGTATGCCCACAGCCACTTAAAACTGACTAAGCACCCCGATGGCGCGTCCGCACGCCGCGAGCAAGTATGTCGCACACTCCAGCCGCCATCCAGGCGCCACAGCCGGCTGCTCGCGCGCCGAGTTTGCCGGCGGCGGTATTGGGCGGCACGAGCGGCGCCGTCTGCCGTGCGGCTCGCTCGGCACGCTCGTGATGCCCGGCACGGAGCCAGTGGTTCGCTCCAGCTGACCGGCAGCGGCGCGGCGCCGACCGGCCGGCGGCCGTGCGGTGCTGACCGCGCTCACGCCACGCCGCGGTCAGGCCGGCGCGCTCGGACGCGCCGAGATGCCATCTGCGCGCCTGTCGCCCATCTGTCGCGTGTACCCATTCTGTCGCGTGGCGGCCGGCGCCGCCGCTGGGTCAGTGGCGGTCAGGTCCAGGCCGGGCTGTCCGCCGCTGGGTCAGCGGCGGTCAGCAGCGGTCGGCCGGACCGGGCTGTCCGCCGCCGGGTCAGCGGTGGTCAGGTCCGGGCCGGGCTGTCCGCCACAGGGTCAGCAGGGGTGAGATCTGGGCCGGGCTGTCCGCCGCAGGGTCAGCAGTGGTCAGGTGTGAGCCAGACCATCTGCTGAGTGACAGCCGTTCTGCCACGACGTCACGGCTACATGTTGTCACTGGACATCCTATGAGTAGATACTCACGCGGTTTTCCGCCAGAGACAGCCGATGTTTGTCCAATCGGCTGTCCTTTTACTGAGAGCTGTACCAAATGGAATTAGATTTCAATCATCCCGTGCAGGTGGTCTCGTGGAGCAGAGATCCCGGCATGTGTCGTCTCGTGGAGCAGTGATCCCTGCATGCGTGGTCTCGTGGGACAGGTATCCCGGCATGTGTGATCCCGTGGAGCAGGGCTCCCCACAGTCGCGAACTGTCGTGTCGTAATCCCTCATGACATCTGTTTTTCACCGTTGTCAGTCCCTTGATCAGACGATAAGCCTTTTTCCGTTGGAAATAATCAATGTGTACACGGCGTCCCCTGCCCCGCTCTGCACCAGCCATCTGCTGTGTATCTGCTGTACGCTGGTGTCCGACGCCATTAGCAGCACCTATTTATACCGGAAGCACGTTGCCGCCACGCTGTTACGGTGATCGGTGAGCCGGGTCTAATCTAGTAACAGAGCGGCCGTATCCGCTCATTCGCCAGCCGGTGCGGTCGGCGGCGTCAGAGTCGGCCGCGATTGTCGGCGATCGTCGGCGGCGTTTCTCCCGAGTCCGGAGCCAGCTGTCCGGAGCGGGCCCGGCCGCCCGGCTCGGCGGCGCGCCCAGCGCCGGCGCCGGCCGCGGCGGCAGCTGGGGGCCGCCGGGCGCGCGCGCCCGCCCGGCCGCGGCGCGGCCGGCATGTGGGTCGGTGTGCCGCCGCGCCTGCCGGCCCCCGCGACACATGGCGCTCGTCGCCGGTGCGCCGGAGGCTTCGCGGCCGCCGGTCGGCCGGCCTCAGCGACGCCGTGCCCCGGCCGGCCGGCCTCAGCGGCGTCGTGTCCCGGTCGGCCGGTCTCAGCGGCGTCGTGCCCCGGCCGGCCGGCCTCAGCGGCGCCGTGCCCCGGCCGGCCGCCGCGAGACGAAGGGCTGGGCCGCGCGCCAGGGCTGCGGCGGTGGCGTCAGAGCCTGTGCGGCCGGGATGGTCAGGCGGGAGTGGGCGTGGGCGGGGACAGGTCTTCTTGAGGCGGTGCTGATGAGCCGAGATCGCCGCGGCTACTGGCCGACACAGTTTCCGAGATTCAAGCGCCGGGCGATAGGCCGGTACCTGAATGCTCAGTGTCGGAATGGTGACGTCTTGAGTTATTGTTCACTGCCGACGCTTTCAATTTAGGCCTCAGACCAAACACAGCGGTCGGAATCTCAGCCCGGGCGGCCACTTCAGCCAAGGCCACTTGACAGAAGAAGGTCAAGCATTTTGCCGCCGGTCGGTGGCCGTCCGGCGAGGGTATTACTATTCATGCGCTCGGCGCGCGCGCGCGCTCGTTGTGTGTCAGACGCACAGGTGCGCTCTCCCGGCCGCCGCCGCCCGGGTTGTTGACCGCTGTCGTATATGGCGCGGCGGCGGCCTTTCGCCGGCATCTGCTGTCGCCGGCCGTGGGCCCGCCGTCGCTCGGCCGGGCCGGGGCCGGGCCGGAGGACCTGGTGGTGGCCTGGCGTTGACAGGCCACGCGCCAGGCTGTCGGCCGCGCGTGGTCTGTCAGACGCACGCTGTCGTGCCGAATGCAGCCGGGAGTAGGACTCCGAGCGATCTGTGTCGGATGTGGCAATGGCTGCTCACGACGGGCGATGGCTGCCGTCTTTCAATCAGTGGTCGACGGTAGGATCGTGCGTCCCACTGTAAGGAGAAACGAAGGTCTTCGCAGTCGTTACCAAGTAGTGCGCGACTCTCGGTAGCTTTTGTTTGATTGTGCGTGCTGTTTCCACACTCGTTTATTTATTACTTGACTGGCATAGCCGTACGGCCCCGTCATGTTGAGAAACCAGTCGTGTTGTAAGCAATGCTTCAGTGAATGTGGCGAAATTCGGCAAATCCATTTGGCGGCGAGGTGCAGCCCGTACAGGTCAGTGACGTCTCGTGACTGCGGCGCTGTTGGGGCGGCGGCGCTGGGAGCGGACGCCGGAGCGGCTGTCTGCTCCCAGCGCCGGGGCCGCGCGCAAGGCCGCCATAACGGGCCCCGAGCAGCAACGAGTTGTGAAACGCCGCCCAGCTGTTCCACTTGAATGAGCCCGGCCACGTCCGCCACCATAAGCGGCGAGCGATTGCCTCCAGGAGATAGGCCACGCGGGAAAGGGCTGCTGCGCTCTCGCGGCGCAGCATGTTCACCTGGGAGCCTTGTTTTGTGTCATGCCTTTCGTATTCGCTATGACATTGCGAAATGCAGAAGCAAGCGATTTTGCATTTCCCTTAACGGTCGTCTGGAAAGCGAGCCGGTGGCGTCTTCCGCGTCTGGCATCAGTAGCTTTCGATAGCCCCACTTCCCCGTCTGCGGCTGCTGAGCGTGGCCGCTTTCGTCCGGGTGGGCCGGGCCGAGGTTGGTATGTGCTGACGTCGCGGGCCGTCCTTCCCACGGTCTGCCGCCGCCACAGCACTGCCAGGGGCGGCCGGAGGGACCATCGTCGTCCGGCGCAAGCCTAACGGGTGGCGCTCACTGGCTGCCCGACGGCGCCGTCGCCCGCCGGCCGGGGGTGCGATCTCCCTGAGCGCCGCACCGACCCACCGATCGCCTAGCTGACGATGCGATTACCGCCGACGGTGGCGGCTCTCCGTGTTCGTTAGCCGTCGCTATTTCGGTCGTGGCGGCTGGTGGGCCGGTCGCCGCGGTCCCGTTTCGAGGTGTGTGCCGCTGGCACGAGAGGGCTGCGTTCCTCGGCGGGCTGGGCTTATCTTGGGATCGGCGCCGTCGGCCGGCCGGTCCCCGCCGGCCAGTGAGCGGCGAGCAGATGAGCTTTTTAGTGGCCCGCCGCCTAATTCCCCGAGAGGGTCGGACTCCGCTCAAGTCGGGCAGACAGAGCTCGCCGCTGTACAGGTGTGTGGTGTCAAGGTGCCCATGTGCGGTTCAAGCGCCCATGCTGGCACTGGCGGATATGTACGCCCGTGCTGGTACTGGCGGATACGTCGACATCTCGGACTTGTTTATCATGAGAAACATGCCCCAACGAGTCGTCTTGTACCGACGCACCGGGGGTCCTCGCTCCTCGCAAAAGAAAAAACGAGAGAACGCCGGGCGCTCCCCACGCCAAATTAGCCGCCGGTTCCGTGACGGCGGAAGACCGCGCGTCCGGCGGGGCCGGAGAGAGCCCGGCCCGGCGCGGCCAGGGATGAGCCGGTGGTGTCGGCGGCCCGCGCCGTGCAGCGCCGCGCCGCCCCAAGCCGCCGTACCCGGCGGCGGCGGCGGCGGCGAAAGCGGACCCGTCCATCGCGGGCGTGCCCCCGGCCGTGGCGGCGCCGCCCGCCGCGCCGCACGCCCTCCCCCGCCATTGTGGCCGGCCGGCTGCGCGTGCCGGCGCAGTGAGGGGCGCCGGCACGCGCAGCCGACCTCCACCCGCCCGCGGCTCGCCCCGCAGACTGCCGCGCTGGGACAGGCTGCAGCGGGCCGGAGCTGGCCCTGCCGAGATGGTAATCGCCGCTCACGCATGCTGCAGGACGTGCCCTGTTGCACGCTGCCGTGGCGTGGTGTTCGTACCGAAGACCGTCAGATCGCAAACTCCAGACTGCAGCCTGTCTCCCAGTCGCAGATTGCGCTTTGCGATCGTTCGTGAGGCGGCCGGCCGGCTGGTCCCGCGAGCGCCTCCGCCTGAGCCGCCTTGCCGGTCCGGGCCGGCCGGCACGTGCCGGAGGTGGTCCGGTGACGCCGGCCGCTCTGTTGACTGCCGCCGCGACCTCGGCCCACTGGGTCACGGTCTTGGCCCGGCCCGCTCCGCGATCGTTTCCGGACCGACGGTATACAGACGCCGGCCAGCGCGGCGCCCGAAATGGGCGCCGGACGTTGGAGTTACGTCGTTAAGCTGTGATGGTGGTCTTGTTCGATAGCGGCGCGTCCATTAGATGAATGGTGGATTTCAACATCCGCGGCTGGTAACAAGCAGACGTTAAGTGATTTCGCGGAACACTATCAGTGTTGCCAGCGAATTTTCTGTAGTCAATTTGTGTTCTGCACAACCACTTTTGTTAAAGCCCACATGCCGGTGAGTCTATAAGCAAATGCGATACAAGGTCCATCCAAACTTGAAACCCCTGGTGCATTGGGATGGTGTTCTAAAGTGCCGCATCAACGCCGGCGCCGACTTGACACCCACGCCGATGCCGTCCACATCGCGCCAACGGCGTCGTAAACCTCGGTGATTTTAAAGGCAACAGTCCGTGCATGAGTGGACGCTCAAGGCTTCGCGAGGGCCTATCGAAATCTGTAAATATTTACGCCGGATTCAACGATCGTGTATGTTATGTGTGGTATCGTAATACACACATACTACTAGCACGCGGTCTATCTGCTCGGAATTAACCATACAGTTGCTGATAAGGCAAGTATGGGCGTGGGTTAAGAGGCGTTAGTGGCTGGCACTGTGTTCATTTGATTATTTCCGACGCCAGAAGCGGCAGGCGCGTCGGCTCCGTGATCGATCTGTCACGCCGCGATGTTAATCCCGCGGCAGTTGGCTTACCATAAGTAATCACTTTCTCCCGGTTTTGATTAGATCTGAAATTGACGGCCAATGGCGGGATGAATGGCATCTCTGTACTTGCGAGGGTCAGTGTCCGGCCAACAGACGGTGACGCGTCGGTTAGGAATAGGTCTCACGCAGAGGCTTGTGAAGCCCCTGACGACCGGTGCGACGCGTGCAGCCGGTCCCCTGGTACCAGGGCGGAGCGGCCGTCCGGGTCGTCCGCCCGGCTGACCCGGCGTGACCGGCGGCGGTCAGGCCTGGCTGCGGGCTGCGCTCGGCTGTGACCTCGCCACAGTGTCGGCGGCGGCCGGCCGGGTCAGGGCCGCGCGCCTCTGCCGCTCCGTCCGCTGCGGCCCGGCCTGTGGTGTCCTCGTGCGACTCTTTTATGTCGCGAGGCTGAACAAAAGCGGCGCGGTGTCTTGTGTTGTTTGTTCTTGCGCTACCGTGCCGCGCTAATCGCGGGTGATGACGACGTTTTTCCCCCCTTTCAGGTCGTGCATAAAACTACGGGTCAAGTGATGGTACTTAAGATGAATCTTCGGTCATCGAACCGATCGAACATGCTCAAGGAGGTGCAGCTGATGAACAAGCTCAGCCACCCAAACATCCTCAGGTGAGCAGAGGCGCCCAGCTAGAGCGTCAGACCCGCCGCCGCAGTTATGGATAGAGTCATCTGTCAGACCGCTGCTCTTATCGAACTGATCAAACTAGCTCCGATCTCCTCGACAACTGACCGTAAATCTTAAAAGAACGCTTATCACGGCAATGACGTATCCTCTGCACGGCGGCTTGCAAAATCCTCCGATTCGCTTGAGATGCGTTCGTCAACTTGAACTGCACGACTGCCGCGGCAGTTGGCAGTCCCCGTCTCACTGCAGCGCGCTGGCACCTCATACCGCTGTGGCAAAAAAGCCGGTGTTGCGGTCGCAGCCCCGACACGACTTCAGAGTTGCGCAGACGCGTCACCGGTCTAACGGTCTGCGAAAGAACGGCCGAACGACACCGCCGACCGGCGAGCGCTCTGGGGCACTACACTGTGAAGACACACAGACGCTGCCCGCCGCGCTGGCCGCCGGGCAAGGCAGCTCTCGTCAGCATGGCCAGCCTTCCGGTCTGCGCAGGTGACTTCCTGATGGGCAGCAAGTCATGGCCGCGAGGCGGCGTGGCATCGGCGCTTTGACTTCCAGCCTCAGAGGCCAGGGTCAGTACCCGCGCAGAGATCGCCGTTCGATAAGCTGCCGCTGCTGAGCGGCGGCGAGCGCTGCGTCCCCGCTCCGGCGCACGTGCACGGCCGCGGGCTGGCGCGCGGCGCTCTTGGCCCGTTTCGCCCGCGGCCAAGACCTCCATTTGGCTGATTTCTCCAAATGCGGTGCACTTGGCAAGCGGAGTGCGGCCACCATGAAGTGCTCGAAGCGGACCGAGATAACGGACTATCACCCGACCTCGGCGGCGGCCGACACCGCCAGATAACGGCGACGCGGCGCAGTGTGCGGCTCCGCTGCTGGTCGTCGCGCCGGAGCGCCGGAGCGCGTGTCGTCTCGCCGCGGCCCGGCCCGGCGCGGTCCGGCCGGGGCTGTTTGCGGACACCCCGCCGCGGCGGCGGGTCGGGCCGGCCGGCCGCGGCGGGTGACGGCGCGTCCTCCGATGCCGACCACCCAGGCGGACGGCGCAGCGACTGGGCAGGCCGGAATCGCCGATGACGTGACCTGGCGGCCCCGTCGCCGGTGTCAGCCGCCGGACTCTCGCCGGCGGCGGCTTTGTCCGCGGCCGGCGGGTGCCGCCGCCGCCCCCGCCGCCGCCCGCCGGCCGACACGGCCCAGAGCCCCGCTGCGGACGGCGGCGGCAGCGGCGGCGGCGGCGCGTTTCTCCGCTGACCGGCCAGCCGTGGCGTCCATTTCATTTCCTGGCGCTGCCGACGCCGCCGGCCGCGCTCGTTTCACTGGCCTCTCACGGAGTGGAGCGCCGCCGCTTCGCGCTCCCCGCCGCGCTAACCGCTATTGTTTTACAACGTCGCTCGGCGGCGCATGAGAAATCCATAGCCGCCGGCAACGCTGGAGATCTGGTCAATGGTCGGACATTACCGTTACACTAGTCCGGCCGCATTCTTTCAGAGTCCTCTCGCGCTCGCAGCGACGCGGCAGAAGATCCATTTCGCCACTTCGCTGTTGGCGGCGTTCATTGCTCTCTCGATGTTGTCATTTGGCGCTGCTCCGCTCACTTCGGGCGGCGGCGTTTCGCAAGGCCGCGGGCGGCGGGCGAACCGGTGCGGCGGCGGGCCGGGCGCCGCCGCTCGCCCGCCGGCGGCCGGATCACGGGAGCGCGACCTTGCGCCGCGCCCGCTCGACCCGCCGGCCGCTTCCGGCGGGCGGACCGGTGCGGCGTCGGGCCGCGCCGGCAGCGTGAGCGCGACCGGGGCACGAGCGGCGGCGGCCGCCGCCGCCCGCTGCAGGTACCGCCGGTGGCGCGCGGCCGGGTAGAGAGTTTGTTTATCGGGCCGGTCTGATTCAGCGGCGCGCCGGCGCCGGCTGTCCGGCGGCGGCACGCCGTCGCGCCGCGTGAGGAGAGACGAGCACCAGCTGGCGGCTGGGCGGCGCCGGTGGCCAGCCGGGCCCGCCCTCGCGCCGGCCTTGACAAAACGGGGCGGCTTCCGGCGCGATGCCCGACGACCAGTGACACGTCGTGCTGCTGGCTGCATGTGGCGGGCGGGCGGGTATGTAACGCAGGCGGACGGCTCGGCTGATTGTGGGCGCGCTGCATCACACTGAACCCGCCCGGGACGCAGCTGTGACACAGGTGGCGTGCGCCCCACACCACAGGCCGCTGGTTCAAGTGGTCCACTAATACAGTGCTGGAGACCGTGACCTTTGAGTCCCTTGCCCCGTCCCCGGGCGGCGCAGCGAGTCCTGCCGTCGACGGTGAGCCGTCCCGGGCGCCGAGCCGGGCCGGGCGGCGGCGCCGCGGCGCGACGCGACACGGGCGGTGACATCGCCGCGTGCTGGCGGACGCACGGGTGACGGCACGGTGACGACACGGTCACGCTCCGGGACGCGGCCGGCGATAGGACTGCCGGCGGCGGCGGCGGCGCCGCTGCGTCAGCGTCTGGGCCGCCGCCGCCGCCGCCGCTTAGACGACACGATCGCAAACACGGCCGGGTGACCGTCGGCGCGGGGCACAGCCGCGAGGCGGCCGAGTGTTTTGTCGGCGGGCGTTGTTCCGGCGGCGGCGGCCGAGTGGCTCGCGCCTGTCGCGCCTGGCTGGCAGGGTCCCGGGCGCCGACGCCGCCGATCCGCTCGGGGATTGGTGAACTGCTGAGCGAACACGAGGCTAATTGGAAGAACTTGCCAAGGGCTTGAGCAAGCAGTCACGGGTGCGAGTGGAAGTGATCACCCGAGCTGTTGACGGATAGCTGTTGGATGGATGCCAGACGATCGGAATTGGTTTAAAACTCAACATAAGGAAACCAGCCGGACCGGCTCCTTACACCGTAAGCGTTCGGTTTGAAAGCGTGGCTGCTGCGTGAATGGAGCGGCGAGTCGCGGTCCCTGGCCTTGGTCTGGTCTGCTAGCCTGGCTACGATCGTGGGCAGGACCCCCCCGTCTCGTGGCCCCCTCGTACGTGCCGTCCCACCCTAGCGCAGGGCGCACGGCCGCGGCCGCACCGTCGCCGCTCAGGGTGGCAGCGGCGCCTGCCGGCCACCGGCGGCGGCGGCGGCGCGGCCGGCCACCCGCGGACGCCCCCCGCGCCGCCGCCGTCCGGCTTGCCGGCCAGGTGGCAGGTAATAACCAGTCCCCCCCCCCCGCTCTCATGGGAAGGCCCGGCGCGGCGCATGCCAGCGCCGGCTGACAGCCGACCGACGAGGCCCAACGGCTGTACCGCTGGTCCGACGCCAGCGCGGCCGCCGCCGCCGCCGCTGCCGCCCTGGAAACGGGCGGCGCGCGCTCCCGTCCAAATCGCCCCGGTGGCGCGCGAGCGCAGCGAGGCACGGAAACGCGCCCGCGCTGACACCATTGTTGGCGTAACCGCGGCCGCGACGTAACGTGGCCGGCCGGCCGGGCCGCGCTTAAAGTAGATACTGCTGTTCCGGCTAATGGCGGACGTCATTGTCGGTGGGCCTTTCTAATGGATAGCGCCGTTTAGGGACTCGGCGGGGGTGGTTTGAGGGCGAGGGGTCAACCCGGCCTGACGACTCGTGCGCGCTCTCACAGCGACTCGGCGACCCGTGCGTCCATCTGAAGAGACACTGGTCGGAGTGCTGTAGTTCTTATACGCTCTCTCTGTCTCTCTCAGTCTCTGTCTCTTTCTCTCGGTCTTTCTCTCTCTTTCTCCCTCTCTCTCTCTCGCCCTCTCTCCCCCTCTCTCGCACGCACGCACGCACACGCACCTACATAAACACACACTGTGAAGGTTGCCCCGTGTGCTAGGCATCTGACGGGTCGCGGACGTGGCAGCCGAGAACGGGTAACGGGCGTAGCGGGTGCGCCTATCTCGATGCGCCCGTGGCTTGACGGCCGGCTGCTGGCCGCCGCCGCCGCCGCCGGAGCGCCGTCCGGGGCCCCAGCTGGCAGTCGGGGCGGCGCGGCCGGCGCTGGCGCGGGCCGCGAGCCCGGCACCCCGCCGGCCCGGCAACGCCGGCCGCCTTCTGCGCCGTTGGCACGCCGAGCTCCCCCGGCAGGCACGCCGACGGTCCCGGGCGCCCTGCCACGCCCCCTCCGCGCCTGTCCTCTCTAGAGGACGTATGGCCCTGTCCGACGAAGAGGCTGGTCGCGTTAACGTACCCGTCAGCGTTTTAGAGTATGGTTCTGCGACGCGGTGCTCGTCGCACCGTGAAAATGAAACTTACCCCCAGCAGTGGGACGGATATTTGACGAAACGCTACCTCACAGCAGGCGGCTAGGGGTGCTGTTAGGTGGCGTCTATCGACTTAAACCGGTGCTATCGGTCGCCTGGAGCCGGCCGGCGGCGTCGGCGGTGACGCTCCGCGCTGGTGACGGCGCCGAGCAGCACGCGCCGTGTCGAGCCGGCCCGCGCCCTGACACTCTGTCCTCTGCCGCAGGTTTATGGGCGTGTGCGTGCACGAGGGACAGCTGCACGCGCTGACCGAGGTGAGTGACACGGCGAGGCCGGCGACCCGCGCCGGTCGGCGCTGGGAAGGCGGGGCGCACCCACTGACAGGGTGCACGGAGTGGCTCACGACGGGAGCTGGAACAGCGCGCTGGCACGGAACGCGGCGAGGTCAGGGTTGAAGAAAGGGGCGTGTAATAGCCGTTTCTCGGTGTGCCTCCGTGTACGAGTGGAGTTCGTGAACCTCAGTTGCAGCTGTGTTTCCTTTCACCGGGTTGTTCCGGCTGAGAGAATCAAAATTGAGCTCCGAGACCACCTATTGCCTAGCTGTGAATCCGACGGCTGTCATTTGGGGGGTTGATTGGTGCTGATATGTGCCAACAACCCCGTGCAAGAGCGCCGTGACAGGCTAGCGCCGCGAGACGGGGGCTTCCCGGTGCCCACGCAGCGCGGCGGGGCCGGGGATGGGGGTGTCGTGAGCACGGTGTCGCTGGACCGTAACGTGATGCGGCCGCAGCCCGGCCGCCGCCGCCACCGCGTCGTCGCCTGGCGCAATCTGGGCGGCCCAGTCATTCATCAGCGCCACGCGCCGGCGTGCCGGGGCCGGCGCCCGGAGTCGGTCGGCCGGCGGTGGCCACCGAGGGGTCGCGCCCGTCACGCTGTCCGCGGCCAGCGGCAGGCACCGTCGCGCGGTGGCGTGCGCGCGGAGGCTGCCCGGCTGGCGGCGGGCCGTCACCGGACGTCGCGAGCTGCCCCGAGCCGCCGCCGTCCCCCGACTGCACGCGGAGCGGGGGCCGGTGCCGTGTCCCGACCGACCTCCGCTTCCTCCGCCAGCACAGGCTCGCTGGGTCGGACGAGGTGCCAGCAGAGCCGGGCTGTTCTTGGAGGTCGGCGTCCCAGCGCCGCGGCGGTCGCTGTGCGGGGAATTCCCAATGCGGAATGGATTGCTCAGAGCCCTGTCAACACACCGGTCCGGTGCGCCTCAGTGTGCGCCGTTTCCGGCGCGGCGGTCCGCGGGGACGGCTCCCGCGTTTGGCCGGGTGCGGTCGGGGCTGACGGCGGTGGGAGGTGCGGCGGTCCGCGGGGACGGCTCCTGCGATCGGCCGGGTGCGGCCGGAACTGACGGCGGTGGGAGGTGCGGCGGTCCGCGGGGACGGCTCCTGCGATCGGCCGGGTGCGGTCGGGGCTGACGGCGGTGGGAGGTGCGGCGGTCCGCGGGGACGGCTCCTGCGATCGGCCGGGTGCGGTCGGGGCTGACGGCGGTGGGAGGTGCGGCGGTCCGCGGGGACGGCTCCCGCGTTCGGCCGGGTGCGGCCGGGGCTGACGGCGGTGGGAGGTGCGGCGGTCCGCGGGGACGGCTCCTGCGATCGGCCGGGTGCGGTCGGGGCTGACGGCGGTGGGAGGTGCGGCGGTCCGCGGGGACGGCTCCTGCGATCGGCCGGGCGCGGTCGGGGCTGACGGCAGTGCGAGGTGCGGCGGTGCACCCGGCGGCGGCCGCTGACTCATGTCCCGCACGTCAGCCACGCTCGACCGCCGGCCGTGCCGTTGGTCCTGCGTTCGAATCCACCGTGTTCTGCGCAGCGCGATATGAGCGCGGAACGCTCGCATCCGTGATGTTATCAACGCTGTGACGTACAGACACTTGTGTTTGCCGATGCAGTGGACGGCTTCGTCGGCTGCAGCGTGCCTTCTCAGGTTCGTTGTGACTTGTAAGCCATGTCACACAACTCTGGTAGCACACTTGTGGGACGGCGGTTTCATATCTCATTGTAAACCCGTGCTCCTTTTGTTTTATCGCGAACTCCGTTTCAGTCTGTAGGTGGTGCAGCAGGTGATGTCCATACAGCTGTCTTGAAGCGTACATGCTGCGTGCACTTTCCCTGTAATGGCGAGAGCAGTGCGTATTCGCGGTCTCACGTCCGACTTGGAGCGTTTCTTCTGCGCCATCTGTCGCGGGCCGAGGTCTGCCTGACCACGCGGCGCCGTCGGTTGTCTGCCGGCCGGCGGCCCAGTTGGGCCCGGCGCCGTCACGTCCCCCCTCCGACGTCCGTCACGCCTCACGACACGCCGCCGGCCGGCCGGCCGGCGGCAAGACTTCCTCATTGACGCCAATTTCGCGCGGCGGCCGACGCGTGCGTGCCGGCCGGCGGCGACAATCGCCGGCGCCGCGGCCGACTTCTCCGGCCTTCCTGCTCTCGCCGACGGCCGGCCGGTGTGCCGGGCTGGCTGGCAGCGCCGGTCCCCGCCCCCGCCGTCACGTTCGACAGCTCTCCCACGACCGGCCGGCCGCCGGGCGACGCCGCACGCCTGGCTGGCGCCCGCCGGCCCCGGCCTCGCGCGCCCCGCCGGAGAGTGGCGCCGCGCGTCCCTCGGAGACGTGTCGCGGGGATGGCGTCCCGGCCGCCGTCGAGCGGCGCCGCGACGGTCACCTTTCACCGCCGGCCGGGAGCCGCTGTCGTCTGTCACCGATCGGGGTGTTGGTCTGTCGGGCCGGCTTGCGTCATCCGGCCGCCGGCCACGGGAACGCGCAGGCTCAAATAGGACGGGAAAGGGAGCGCGCCGCGAACACGCGCCGGCCACCGGAACGGGGCGTGTGGCCGCGCACCGCCGTCTCAGCCCCAGGCACCGCCGCCGTCTCGGCCTCAAGCACTTGACAGACTTCCGTTCTGCCCTGCTGGATGACGCTCCTCGGCCGTTTTTTTGCGGGTGAATTGGCCAGCCGGGCATGTCCGCCTTGTTCGCATGACCAGATTGCGCTGATTGCGTATTGTGCGCCGACAGTGCGGCGCGGCCCGCCGCCGAGGGGTCTACACATGTCCCGATGCGCTGGGCTCGCGGCGCCGTGCCGTGCTTCCGTAAGTGCAGCGCGCTTGCTCTGTCCCAGCCGGCGCCAGCACAGTGCACATTGTTCTGGCTAAGTAGCTGCTGTGCACGGCGGCCTCGCTCCATGCATTCATGTAGCGGGCGGCGGCGCGTCTTCCTGATACGGCACGGCCTCCGCCCCGGTCGGGTCGAGCCGAGATCGGGGCAAGGTCGGCTGCGGGGGGGGGGGGGGGCACCTGCCGCCGCCCGGCACGCGCCTGCGCTTGGCCCGACTCCCAGCGTCGCCAGCCCCCGACGCTGGGGCCGGTGCGCGGCTGGGGCCGGGCCGTTGTGGCCGATATACTCGCGCTTCATGTGCGTTTAACGGCCTTGGCGTGGTGCGGAGAGATCGGTTTTATAGCGGCTGCGTGCGTGGCGCGGCTGATGGCCGTCAAAAACGCTGCCCGGCGAGAGGGCGGCGGCGGACGGCGGACGGCGGACGGCGATCGGCCGGCAGATACGGCCGCGTCTGTCACCCGTCACGTCTCAAAGCGTGACGACGAGCCGCGCGCTGGCCCGGCCCTTACCGGCGGTATGTGTGTGTGGGCGCAGTGTGGGCGGTGCGCCGGCGGCGTCGGTTGGTTAGCCGTGCGCCGTCGGCCGGCCGTGACGCAGTAGCCCCTGCGGTGGCGGTGACTGACCGGCCGCCTGTCCACGGGCCGTTCGATGTCCTCCTTTCCGCCGCCAACTCGGCACGGGGTAAAAACCTAGGCCGCCGGGCGGTGCCAGATGTGCGGCGCCCATTAGCGGGATGAAAGTGTGTCCACTGTCGGCGGCGGTGGGAGCGACTGCCGTGCGCCGCCCGCCGCTGTCCATCGCCGCTGCCCGTCCGCCGGCGCGGCAAACAAACGCCCCCGCCGCGCGCACGCTGGGCGGACCGCCGCCGGCGCGGCTGGCGCAGTTGGAGCGGCGCCACTGTCCCGCCGGGACCGCTGGCCGTCCTGCCGTGTCCTGTCGTGGCGCGTCTCTGGGCCGTGTTGTGACGGTGATGTCACGGCTCGGGACGCTTCCGGCCGCCGGCTGACGACGGCCCGCGGCGGCCGGGTGACATGTGTGACCTCGCCCGGCCCGCAGGCCCGCGCCAGTCACGGCCCCCCTCCCCCCCCCCCCCCCCCGACACGCGCGACAACTTTCTCCGGCGGCCGAGCCGCGGGCGCCGCCCGGGGCGCTGCCTCAGGTGCCGCCGCCACCGGCCGGGGTCGGGGCCCGCGCCGGCGGCGGCGGTGGCGGCGGCGGTGGCGGTTTAGGGTCGCCGCGCACCAGGTCACGCTCCGTCGGAGCCTGATCAGCGGCCGGCGCCGGCGCCGTGATCGCGGCCCGGCACGCGTGCTTGCCCGCCCGGCCGGCCGTGACGCGCGCGTGCAGCCAGTGCATCGGCCACGTCGCGCTTTTACTTTCGGCCCGGCACGCTGCGGCTATCGCGATCGGATCGGCTGCCGTTGCGCCGGGCTGGGCCAGCGCCGATCGCTCCGGCTGGCGGCCTTTCTACGGCGGGCTTTCGCCGGCATCTGTCGGGCCAGCCGGCCGCCCAGCGCCGCTCACGCACCCCAGACGACGCCGCCATTCCGGGCGTGCCTCGCGCGCGCACTGTGCGTTGGCGTGCCGGCTGTCTGCCTGACACGGAAGGAGAGCAGCGCCCAGCGGCTGGTGGGCACTCTGCCTCTGCCTCTGCCTCTACCTCTGTCTCTGCCGCTGCTTCCGCCTCTGTCTCTGCCTCTGCCTCTGCAGTTGCCTCTGCCTCCGCCCCTACCCTGTCCTTAAAGCATTCTTCAGAGGCCGTTTCCACGATTGCTTTTGCAGGCATTCTTGTTTTATACATCATCCCCGTGATTTCCTCCCGCCGTCTCCCCTGTATCCAGTTTCCCTTGTCTGTTTGTGACTCGCCCTGGCATCCAGCGCATGTCCGCTCGCTGAATGCCGAGGAGGCAGCTCCTTTGTTCCGTGCCGTGAATTATTCCGAATTCTTTTAACGAAGCATGAGTGGGCGACAGTTGCGTTACAATGGCTTCCACTGTTTCCGTGAATAGCGATTTTCTCAAGGGAGGCGGCCGCCCACCCGACAGGGCTTCGCATTATTGTGGACGGCTGTAGCGAAAGCATAGGTCTGCTGGTGCATCGCAGACCGCTAGCATGTCGTCCTTGGCCATCGCCCCCATCATCAACGCCAACGACGTCTTCTTTGGAGAGGATGCCTGCAGCGTATAGCTGCTTAGAGGCAATTGTGCTGGGAGGCGATGGCTGCTGGAACGTCGGGGCAGGAGTGGTGTCCAAAGCGTGGAGCTGTTGCGGGCTGACCCTTGACTTATGATCCTTGACCGAGAGAACGACAGAAGGTTCGAGTGGAGGAGCCCTTTCTCCCATTCAGAGACCGTCGCCCCCAGCCTCGCAGTGCCGGACATTCCGGCTGGCTTCTCTCCGCCCTTTCCCTACCTCTTTCATGCGACGTAGATCTCGCCTGTCACTGATTTATGCGGCCGATGAATGACTGCGGTTGACGCTCGAGTGTTTTCGTAAAGTCCGAGCAGAACGCCGGTCTCCTGCTTGCTGCAGCAGAGCGGTGGCGCCTGCAGACGTGTCGGCGTATCCGGCTCACTGCGCTCTGCATACGCGGCGGCGCGGCGTATCGCGGCGCGGCGGTGTGGAATTGTGACGACCTTTAGGCGGTTTCATAAGCGCAGCGTTCAGGTACAACCGGTTTTAGGCTGGTCGTGATTTGTGGTTGATAGTCGAGAATCTACGTTGGTTGCGTAAACCAGCGTTCGTTGTGGGCCATGATGGCGTTACACCATGTGGAGCTGTTTATGTCCCCGGACCGGGTGGAGAGATTGTCATCATCAAGATACGGTAAATCAGTTCTGTTTATGTGAGACTCGCTGTATCGGTATGTCGTGCCTTTGTAATCGCGCCAGTGTCCGGGCTCATGGGAGCGGCGGACGCCATTGACACTATTCGGTGTATGGCACGTGCACACGGATCAGTTTAATTGATCGTTTCATGTGCCATTATTGTCGTACAATGGCGGCATGACGATTTGGGGCCCCAATAATGTGCTTTGTTCACATCCTCGGAGTTTTACTTATCAGTAGACACACGGCATGACATTTCTAACACGCCACCATCGCGTTCGTACATGCCCTGTTAAATACGCGACTGGTGTGGGGTGATGGGTGCCCCGCTCCGGGCACCAGCACACACGCAGGCACGCACCTGGCGCGACGCGCCTGAGTTTCGGCTCCGTTTCAGTACATCAACGGCGGCAGCTTGGAGCAGCTGGTGCAGTCGCCGGAGTCGCTGGGCTGGCGCTGCCGCACGGCGCTGGCGCTAGACATGGCGCAGGCGCTGCACTACCTGCACAGTCGTCAGGTCTTCCACCGCGACCTCACCAGCAAGGTGAGCCCCGGGCCGGCCGGCCTGCCGCCGACGCCGGTCCGGTCCACCCGCCCGCCCGACCGACCGACCGTCAGAGTCGGGCGCCACTTGTGCCGTGCTGGTTTGGCAGTCCGCGGCGCGGTCCAGCGCCGTGTGTTTGGGGCGGCGGCGGTCAGCGACCGGATGACGGCATCTGTTTGGGATGGTTGGAATCGCGATGATAAGAGCAGGTGTTGTTCAGAGCCTGATGCGGGTTGCAATTGATAACGGAATACCTGCGTTAGTCGGCAGGTTTGTGTCGCGCAGACTGCCCAGTTTGATAAGATAGACTGTGACCTTCGTCGGCGGCCCGGCCGGGATCCGGCCACTTCAGTCCGAGATAAATCCCGGAGCATCTCAGCGGACCTCAAGTTGATGTATCACGTGCACCTGATGCGGCGGTCGTGTTCGGGACATCTCGTTCACTGAAGACAGCCGGTGGCCGTTAGCCAGCGAATAGCGTCGCTGGTCCGGAGAGAGGTCACGGACTGCGTGCTGCCGCGCCCGCCGTGTCCGCCGCCGCCCGGAGCGCGCCCGGCCCGGCGGGTCCGGCAGGTCGCCGGCCCGGTCGCCCAGACGTGCAGACAATGGCGGGCCGCGGCGGGGAGCGCGCCGGCCGGCGTCGGCCGTGACTCGCGGCGGCCGCACTCGTGACCCGAGATGGCTCTGGGAGCCGGCGACGGGCTCAGGCGGGACGTGTGAAGGAGGCCGCCACTTATGCGAGGGCCTGCGGTGACTCTCGCGGAGAGTGTCGTGACCGATGAAGCACGGGCGCTGCCAGCCGTGGGGTTGTGCGCGCTCTCTCAGTCGGCGGTCCTCAGGCGTACGCTACTATGCTGTCGACAATGGTCATGTGGTCGCTCGTATCGCTGCCGAATATTTTTGGCAAGACGCGGGATGGACCTGCTTTATGTTTGATTGACAACGCCCGAGCTCGAGCGTTACAGCTGCACGCTCATCCGAGAGGCGACGGTAGAGCCCGGAGATATGCGGCCGTCAAATGGTACATCGCGTTGAGATGCCATCATCACAATGGTCCAGGGCTTGGCCATTGCGCTGTCGGTGCTGGAAGGATGCGGCCGTGTGGCGGCCGGGCCGCGCTCGTGACGTGGTGGCCGGCTGTTTCAGAACGTGCTGGTGCGGCGCATCGAGGACGGCTCGATGACGGCCGTCGTCGGCGACTTCGGGCTGGCAGCCCGCATCCCCGACCCGCTGTGAGTATAGCGAGGTCGTCCGGCGCTCTGCCCGAAACGCGACCAATGACTGGTGTGGCACTGAGTGTCTGCGTCTCCAGGCCGCCGTCCAAATTTCCCCGTCTGCTGTGTTGTAAGTACCCCGCACCTCCCTGAGAGTGGCGGACCAGCCCCCTTAAGTACCACACCCGCCGAGTGAGGACTCGCCGCCGGCGGTAAGCATCGCGGCGATGACGCCCCATCTGAGAGCAATCATCTCGGGCTGGCCGAGTGCCAGACCCACGGCAGGCCGACTTCGGAGACGTCTCACCTTTTCCTCGATGGGCTCTGGTAATCCATATCGGACGCCGTGTATAGCGCTCCGAGCGGTGAGCTCCGCCTCCGGCACGCTCGCCCGCCGGCCACAGACAGACTAGCCCGCTGATGGCACGGCCGGACTCACAGGGAGTGCTGCCGTGCCCTCGGCGCTGACGGAGCAGCCGGGTTTGCAGGGAACGCTGCCGTGCCCTCGGCGCTGAAGGAGAAGCCGGGCTCACAGGGAGCGCCGCCGTGCCTTCAGCGCTGAGGGAGCAGCCGGGTTGGCAGGGAACGCTGCCGTGCCCCCGGCGCTGACCGAGCAGCCGGGTTGGTAGGGAGCGCTGCCGTGCCCTCGGCGCTGAGGGAGCAGTCGGACTCACAGGGAGCGCCTCCGTGCCTTCAGCGCGATACATCGTCAGCGATCTGACCGGCGGCGGAAGTGACGCGTCCGGCAGCTGACCGCTTGTTGTGACAGGCAGGGTGCGTCACGAACCGTGTCCTGTTGCGCGGGGGGGGGTCCGTAAGTCCCTGTATGCTGCTGATTGTACCAGAACATGAATCGCCCGTTTTAAACGCCTCCAACTAGCACCACGTCATCGACCGGCTTACTCGATGGACCGCGGGCAGTGGCGAGGCAGGGGCGCACGATATCTGTGTTTCTTTAGAGCGAACTCGGGCGCCGGCTCCCTTCTCCTCATTGTGTGCAGTTGGCGGACAGCGCTTCTCTGGCGTGATATTTCCAGACCGAATTTGTCTGAAATATTGATTGCCGTGCCGGCGCGCGAACTTCAGGGGTGCTGTGTTTATTTTCTCGAGTTCTTCGTCACGTGCCCTGGCCCGTGAAACGACTACGTGGAAGTTGTAAAATCCATAGCGGTTCCACTTAGTGCCAAGATCTTGCATCATCCACCGGGGCAGGCTGGCGTGAACGACCGATGGAAAAGTATCGTCATTCCCAAGCCTCGTTGTCTACGAACGCTCTGCATCGTTCACATTAAAAGCTTGGTGATGATCATCCGCTGCCGCCACAAATGAGCGCAATAACGCGGTTGGATGTGTTGTCGAGGGTCCAAGACAAAACTTGTAATCGGTCGGTCATCATCGCGCTCGTGGATGACGGCCATCCAGCCCGCCATCATGACTCAAAAGTCGGGGGGGAACTGCCGCGAACACGAGCCGTTTCTTGTGGGTGATGAGGGGGTCTCCGTGCCAAAACAAACTCGGTGACAGGCATCTTTCGTGTTTAGCGTGAATTGCACCTTTGCACCATCTTACTCGAACGTTCCCCCAAGCAAATGTTGACTGGCAGCGTATGCTTTAAATGCATAGGTCAGATTATTTGATCTGAGCCTGATCTTTATCCGTTCCTTTGCGCATTAGAGCATAGTTTTTCTCTTCAACCTGCTCTTGGCTCGACCATTTCATGCGTGTCACGCACGTCACCGCCTGTGCGTGTAAACGCCGCGCTTGCGGCATCAACACCAGGCGTATGCGGATGCAGATCTGCGGCAGCCTGTCCGCCGACGCCTGCCACCTGGCGGCGTGCCAGGGTTGTGTCTCGTGACCTTTCGTCTCGCTGCGCCTCCGCCGATGCCAAGCGGCGGCGGACGGCTGGCGCCCGTCGGCCCGTGCCGACCACACATCCAGAGCCCCCTTCCCCCTCCTCCGGGGACCTTGGCCCGGCGGCCGTGTGTGAGTCACTGCGGGGAGCGGGCCCCGGTCCTGTGACGATGACACGGCGTTTGCCAGGTGCGAGATAGTGTCCGCGGTGGTCCGAGCATGCGACAACGGGCCGGCTCGGACCGTGCCGGCCGCTCTGCGGCGCGGCCCAGCCTGTCCCGATCGCGCGGGGCTGTCGGTCGTTCACTGGCCCGCTCTCTGGTCCTGATGGCCAAGTCCTGCCCGCCGCTCGGTGACCCAGCCCCCCTCCTGATGGTGGGGACCTTATTGAGAGAGCTATTCTCATCGAGAGCGTGGAGGCCGTTCGTCACGTCTGCCCCGTCACTGGCCCGGTGTGCCGGCCAGGAGACGGAGGCGTGTTGCAGTGCGGCCTAGCTCCAGGGCTTGTTGTCTGGCACGCCGGAAGGGAGTGAGACACTGCTCTGGGGATTACAGCCCGCGCCCCTCCGGCGCCGGCCTGCTGTAAACACGTCTCGGGAGTTGCGACTCACACTGAGGCCTGATGCTGATGGATGGAGGGCCGGTGGCGCCGTCGCCGGGCCTTCCGGTGACGATCCCACCGTCGCGGCCCCGTGTCGTGCCTGCTTCCGGCGCCCGCGCCCCCGTCTGTCGACGCTCGTCCGCCGGCTCTGACCGCTTTCCCCATCGCCGGGCAGACTGCCGAGCCGCCTGAGCACGGTCGGCTCCTTCTGGTGGATGGCGCCCGAGTGCATCACCAACCGGCCGTACAACCAGCGGGCGGACGTGTTCAGCTTCGGCGTCATCCTGCTGGAGATGATCGGTCGCCTGTCGGCCGACCCGGACGTCCTGCTGCGCACGCCGTCCTTCGGCGTCGACTACCTGGCCTTCGCCGGCCTCTGCCCGGCGGACTGCCTGCTCGAACTGCTGCTGATCGCCTTCACCTGCTGCCTGGTCAGTCTGCCGCCAGCTGGGCGAACTGTCTGAGCCAGCTGTTTGGACAGTCTGAGCCGTGGGAAGAGCTTGGGTCGGCTCTGTGCTCATTCTGAACGGTCTCTGTGGTCAGTTTAAGGTGGGCGAGTATGAGCGGGTTTGATCGGTCATTTAGAGCTGCCTTTGTCTCATTGTTGACTGATCATTTGAATGGTCTGTGTGGTCTGAGCCGTGTGTGGGGCTGCTGTTGTCGGGCTGTCTGGCCAGCGTGCATGTCTTCTGCTGACTGAGCTGGCCGTCCAGTGAGTCAGCCTGTCTGTCTGTCTGATCAATAGCCCCTCTGACCAGATGAGAAGCTCCTTACTTCGACCAGCGGAGGGACGATCATCATTAAAGCTCCCGTTGTCGTCGTTAATCATTGCGAAAGCGAGTAATGATTTGTTAACTCTGAGATGATTAGTCGCCTTGGGATGTTGTCATTGTCGTTGTCTACTTAGCCCCGTGCAGCCCCATCTTCACGTGCGTGTGAACGCTTACTCCCCTCCCGTGCCACACCGGCCGCGCCCATCCACGTTGGCGCATGTTGCCCTCCGGTGCCGCGCCACAAACTCAGTAGTACAAACTCTGTCCACGCATATGGCTTTGCAATTTAAAGACGATCCTGTCCCTGCCGCAGCAGCCTGTCAGGCGCCCGCATGGCCCCGGTGGCGTGAGGTTAGCTAGTCGGATTAACTGGCGTTACGGGTGTGGTGGATGGTGGCTGCCGGCGCGACCGCTGTGGGGAGGTGACCCGGCACACCACGTGGGCGGTTCGGGGCGCTACCGGACAAACTACTTACGCCGGCAACCATTCTGCCTCACGATCAGCGGCGGTTCGGGCCAGTGGCCGCGCCGCCCGCCGACTGTAAACGCTGCCGTGGCCAGTTTGGACCCGAGCTCTGGCGCCGTGCCACCGCAAGGGGAGCGGGCCCACGACTCTACCGACGGCCCAGCCCGGGGGCGTCCAAACTAAACACCGGTCGACTGCCGCGGAACCCCGCACGGCAGGCGGTCGGCCGGATATGTAGGGATCGGGACGGCCGGCTCGTCATCCCCTGACGTGGAGGCTAGCCCGTATCGCGCGCTATCTCGTGATGAGCTGCGCCGAGGCTCGTATACCTCAACGCGGAGAAGCGTATGGTGTGGCGTCTGAGGCTTCTGAATTGTTTATGGGGCGTCCCTGGTGTTCTATTGTACCGTAAATCATGCGATGAGATTCGCCTTTTTCCCGTCAAATGGCAGTCCCGTCTGTACTGACGTAAGAAATCCCCGACTGGCGCAAGTCATTCCGCAAGGAGGCCACCTTGGTTGTGTTGGGACTAGTGTGCCAGCCCTTTTGACCTTCGTTGCCTCGTCCGTGTCAGCCGCTCGCGCCGACGGGCGCTGCCGCGCCGTTTCATCTCGCCTGACGTCCGCCGCCCCGTCTTTTGCAGCACGCGGCCAGCAGCCGGCCGTCGTTCGGCGAGCTCGTGCACCGCCTGGAGACCCTGCTGGCGGCGCTGCGCGCGCAGGCGACCGGCGCCGCGCCGCCCGTCCTGCCCACCAACGACCGGCAGCTGTGTACGTCACCGACACACGACACCCGTGCCCTTCATGCTGCGCCCCGTCCCCCCGCGGGCACATCGTCTCTGGTTCTGAGACTGATGAGAGACTAAGAGACTGAGAGACTGTTCAGCTCTGTGGCTAGGGCCCCTCGCTGCTGGCCCAGGCTGCGGCAGTCTGCTGTGGGTTTTACTCCACGCTCGTCACTTATTGTTGTTCTCCTCATTGGTGGTCTTAGGGGTCCCGGTCGACGGAGGTAGTCAGCTCGTCGGGACTGGGCCTCGCTCTGCTCGTCGGGACTGGGCCTCGCTCTGCTCGTCGGGACTGAGTCTCGCTCTGCCCGTCGGGACTGAGTCTCGCTCTGCTCGTCGGGACTGGGCCTCGCTCTGCTCGTCGGGACTGGGCCTCGCTCTGCTCGTCGGGACTGGGCCTCGCTCTGCTCGTCGGGACTGAGTCTCGCTCTGCCCGTCGGGACTGAGTCTCGCTCTGCTCGTCGGGACTGGGCCTCGCTCTGCTCGTCGGGACTGGGTCTCACTCTGCTCGTCAGGACTGAATCTCGCTCTGCTCGTCGGGACTGGGCCTCGCTCTGCTCGTCGGGGCTGGGTCTCGCTCTGCTCGTCGGGGCTGGGTCTCGCTCTGCTCGTCGGGGCTGGGTCTCGCTCTGCTCATCGGGACCGAGTCTCGCTCTGCTCGTCGGGACTGAGTCTCGCTCTGCCAGCTGCGACTTGGTCGGTCGGGTATGAGCCGGCATTAACTTTCAAGCACCACCCGCGTGCAGCCCCGTATTGTTATTATGACCTCATGCAAGATGACCCTTTGAGTTCCTGGAGCTCGGTTGCACGCTTGTTGGTCAGGAAGGGCGACAGCGGGACAATGGTAAACAGTCTCTATCTGCCTGTCCTTGGATTCGCCACTCCGTCCCGAACGAAACGCCACTGAATTGTAGCGCCTGCAGTGCGGAGTCCGGCCACGTGCAAGGCGTTGCCGGACTGCCCAGCTATCAGTGTTGAGCTGTCAGGCTCCCATGCAAACTCCCCGGGTGACACAGACGGGATGCAGGTGTACTTTCCTCCTTGTCGGCATATCGGCTGCTTCCGATAGCCGACGGCCTCCGCTCCTCGGCCGTGCCGTTTTCTTACTCATGTAGCCGGTGCTTCACCACTGCGCAGTGTACACCGGGCACCGTCCGTGTCCTACTCATGTAGCCGGTGCTTCACCACTGGGCAGCGTACACCGGGCACCGCCGGTGTCCTACTCATGTGGCCGGTGCTTCATCACTGGGTAGTGTACACCGGGCACCGTCCGTGTCCTACTCATGTAGCCGGTGCTTCACCACTGGGTAGTGTACACCGGGCACCGTCCGTGTCCTTCTCATGTAGCCGGTGCTTCACCATTGGGTAGTGTACACCGGGCACCGTCCGTGTCCTTCTCATGTAGCCGGTGCTTCACCACTGGGTAGTGTACACCGGGCACCGTCCGTGTCCTACTCATGTGGCCGGTGCTTCGCCACTGGGCAGTGTACACCGGGCACCGTCCGTGTCCTTCTCATGTAGCCGGTGCTTCGCCACTGGGCAGTGTACACCGGGCACCGTCCGTGTCCTTCTCATGTAGCCGGTGCTTCGCCACTGGGCAGTGTACACCGGGCACCGTCCGTGTCCTACTCATGTAGCCGGTGCTTCACCACTGGGCAGTGTACACCGGGCACCGTCCGTGTCCTTCTCATATAGCTGGTGCTTCCCCACTGGGCAGTGTACACCGGGCACCGTTCGTGCCCTGCTCATGCCGTCCCGGGGTCAGCCAATGGTCCACTTCGTACCGCCTCTGGCACGGCGACCTCGGCCAAGTGTGCAGATATCTCCTCGATGGTCTGGGGAGGGGAGGGAGCGTCCGAGCGGCCTGACGCGGCGCGCGTGGCCCGATATCTTCTGATAAACGCATCACTCGGCGCTGGCCGTATGAGTGGTCTGATACGGAGATTGGGTGCACGGCGGATTGATGGACGATATCTGAAGCCGAGTAAACACACACAGTCGCTGTCATTGGGTGGCGGTCTTCGAGGTAGGAGTCTCGCGCTTCGTGAGACGCCTGGCGCCTGTCGGCATGCCGATGTCTTCGGCCTGACATTCATTCTCGAGCCTCGTCGCTGTGCTGATTTATGGTGTTTGTTCCGATGTCGTCATAGCGACAACGAAAGCTTCTCGTATTTCAGTGCGGCTCCATTGAATGCCATTGTAATTCATCTTGCGACCACGGGCTGTGTGATGTCCTACTTGTCTGCCGTCGGTGTGGTTCCGTTGAAGTACTTAGGTATGATATTTTGCGGGCAGAAGTATGAGTCTCCCTCCTTCAACTCGGGCATTGTGTGCGTTCGCTCCTATGATGTGGCTGTGCACTAGCGCCATCTATTGGCAGGTTTGTATATTCGTAGTTTAAACAAGTTGATTGTGTCGGATCGTCCACAAAGTGTCCACTTCATACCAAATCTGTGCTCTGTGAGGTTGTATCTCCGTTTGTAGTCCCCGTTTCCAGTAGCGCCACACAATGTCAAGTGCATGTGTTCGCGGTTGTCATGGTATCGCTGACCAACGCGTCCTTCGGCAGACCGGCGCTCGCTCTCTGACGACGCCCTGGCGCAGCTGATCCTGGCCGAGACGTGCTCGCCGAGCGACAAGGCGCGCGTGCACCGGCGGCCGTGGCGGCGGCGCGAGCTGCGGCCGCGGCCGCTGCTGCGCGCGCCGCGCGACGTGGCGCAGTTCATGGCGGCGCGCGACCCGGCCTACCGGCCCGGCGACACGGCCAACCCGTTCAACAGCCTGCAGCGGTACCGGCACGGCCGCAAGGTGCTGGAGTACCGGAGCGAGCTGTTCAGCTCGTGCCTGGAGCTTCCGTGGCCGGCGGGCGCCGCCGCCTCACCGCTGCCGGACGCGCCGCGCGCCACCTGCCTCAGCCTGCCGGCCAGCCCCGTGTGCGGACGCCGCGGCGGCGGCGGCGGCGGCACCGGCCCGCGCGCCGCCGGCGCTGGTGGTGAGCGAGCAGCCGGCGCTGCGCCGCCTCGGCTCCTGCGAGTCGGGCTTCTTCAGCGTGGGCGAGGCGGAGCGCGCCTCGGCCTCAGACCTGTCGCCGGCGTCGCTGCTCTCCGAGTACAGCCAGGAGGAGCTGGCGCGCGGCCTGCCGGCGCTCGCCAAGCGCTCGTCGTCCGTGTACACCGACTCGTCGGACGACGTCAGCAGCGTGGGCTGCGATGGCGAGGAGCGCGACCGGCGCCGGCCCGACCACTACGAGAAGGACATCCGCCAGATCGTCGAGTACTTCGAGCGCAGCGGCGGCGGCGGGCGCGCGCTGCGCCACAGCCTCGGCTGCCGGCAGCGCGCGCTCGACCGGCTCAGCCTGGAGCGGGCGCGTCAGCGGCTCGAGCGGGCCGAGCGGGCCCAGGTGCCCGAGCGGCTGGTGGCCGACTGCCGCAAGCTGTTTGACCGGCGGTCGGACGGTGGCGGCGGGCGCGCGCTGCCGCCCCAAGCCGCGCGTGCCCATCTCCGAGGGCACCGTGCGTGACAAGCTGACGGTGTTTGAGAGGAAGAGCTGAGCGCGCAGCGCCCTCTGGTACCGTCTGTGATTGGCTCGCCCCCTGCCGCTGGCCTGGCGCGAGCCCCGCCGCCGGGCGCCGGGCGCCGCTGTTTTGCGTAGTGCTAGCTGGGACTGTAGTGCAAAGCTGAATAGTACAAATCGGCGCAGGCGAGCCAGGCGCGGGAGCTCAAGCCCGCGCGCCGCATGCCCACTGTCGTGTTACCAGTGGTTCTCATGGGGCTGATGGAGTCAAACCAAGCTTGCCCGTGCTGGCGTGCTGTTCAATCCATTTGTAGGACTGTTCACCTGGGGATCGACGGATATTAGGCCCGATTAGTACGCTGTTTAGTACTCGCCTCTGGAATCACTCGCCGGAGACTCGGTTCACCGGGTGGATGGTGACCGTCCTGCAATGTCCACTCGCGCCGAGCGGCGGCGGCCGGCGCGCCGTCCAGCCGCCGGTTGGTGTTCACCCGTGTCTAGTCGCCCGAGCAGAGATGCGCGCGCCACCGTGCGCAGGACAGTGTGCCAGGGTCGTCTTTATAGTGCCAATGAGCTGCTGAAACGATGTCTTCTCTTTTAGTACGCGAATGGTCTCTTCCGGTGTTGACTGAACGTCAGATGTCACTCTCCCCCACCTTCGGCCCCGAGGCACGCGCGTGTGCTTCCATATCAACGATTAGTGCTCAACTGGTTATCTAACCCTGGGTGTCGCGTTCGGTAATTGTTACCATATTGTGATAGTTGCAAATGAATGCTCTGAGATAAGTCTGGATATCTTATTGTTTCGGAGGTAATCGCAGTTATTGATGTCTGTTGTACTTTTAATTCACTCGTGAAATAAAGACAGGATTGGTGACCGGCGTTTCTCACGAGCGTCGCACGTGCGTGCGCTAGGGTCCACGATCTGCGCGGCTCCTGTGACGGGGCTGTGATGAGCGGGTCACACAAACGAGGGCCAGGCGGGCGGTACGTCCAGAAGCGCCGGGATGCATGTGGCTGGGCGTGGCCCGGCCGTCAGCAGATCTGCCTGAAGGGTGACGGGTGCCCTCTGACCGGAGGGAGAGCAGGGAGCAGGGAGGGAGCTCGGCGGGGAGCAGTCGGTCGTATCATGTCCGCCACCCGCACGTGATGGATGTCCGCTGACCAGAGAGTGCCCTGCAGAGATCTCTGAGCAGGGAGGGAGCCCGGCAGGGAGCAGTCGGTCGTATCATGTCCGCCACCCGCACGTGATGGATGTCCGCTGACCAGAGAGTGCCCTGCAGAGATCTCTGAGCAGGGAGGGAGCCCGGCAGGGAGCAGTCGGTCGTATCATGTCCGCCACCCGCACGCGATGGATGTCCGCTGACCAGAGAGTGCCCTGCAGAGATCTCTGAGCAGGGAGGGAGCCCGGCAGGGAGCAGTCGGTCGTATCATGTCCGCCACCCGCACGTGGTGGGTGTCCGCCGACCGGAGAGCGCCTTATAGGGAGCAGGGAGGGAGCCCGGCAGGGAGCAGTCGGTCGTATCATGTCCGCCACCCGCACGTGATGGATGTCCGCTGACCAGAGAGTGCCCTGCAGAGATCTCTGAGCAGGGAGGGAGCCCGGCAGGGAGCAGTCGGTCGTGCCATGACCGCCACCCGCACGTGGTGGGTGTCCGCCGACCGGAGAGCGTCCTATAGGGAGCAGGGAGGGGGCCCGGCAGGAAGCAGTCGGTCGTGTCATGCCCGCCACCCGAAGCGGCGCAAAGGAGTGTAGGTTACGGCAGTACCAAACATTCCCGGGAAGTTTGGAGTTTTGTTTGATCTCTTTAAAAGTTTGAATTTCGTCACTGCATTAGTGATCTTCATCGAGGGCATTTCATGCTGATGCCTTCTGTAAAGAGGACTGCAACCACGGACAGTTAGCAGGCCGAAGTCGTCACGGCCGCGGAACGGGCAAGGGTGGCCGAGACGTACAGGCTATGTGGTCCGGTTCTGAATTTCATATTTCCTTAAACGCGATGTTCCAGTTTTACAAGCTGAAGTTCTCAGCTGAGGGTCATTGGGACCAGGCACATTTCCGCCTACCGATGACCGGTTAAGTCAGACGGGCACGACGACGCATAGACTAAGAACTGGTCCGGTGGGCCTGAGATGTAGCTCAACCACAACGTATGCAAGATTCTACACCCTCATTAGTTTAACAGAGATCGGCTATGTAGACAGGTCAATGGCTCCTACAAACTGTCATAACCTCCTTGAACCTAAGGCGTTTTTGTGGCCATACCGGAGAGTGAAAAAGTAATCATAGCATACGTACTTTTAAAATTCTCCTCAGAAGCCTTGTGACAGCAAACGTGTACAGGGCGAGCCTCTCCAAATGTGATACAGCGGTACACACCACTTTGGTACAGAAGGCGGGATGAGTTCGGTGAGACGCAAGTAGTCCGTTTCTAAAACACGTCCCTTCTATTTTGGACGGGGGAGTGAATCGTAGGATATTCCTCCTATGTACATTTAATTCACCTACAATGGTGTTGAGAAAACCACATATTTGAAAGCTTGTACGCACCAGGGAGCGACCGAGGTTGAGGCTTCTTGTGAGATTTTGGTAATGTGCAAACATTTCAGAGGATGTGTAGTGTCCCCAGTATTTTTCCCATTTTCCGTTTTCATCACAAAGCAAGCTGAGAAAAATATTCTGAAGACAATTTTCTGCGCGATCATCGACACTCGGTCGCTTCCGCGGTCTGGAAAAAGACGCCGACTGGCGGCGTTATTCTGCGGCACTACGTATCTGAATCCCAGAGCATGGGTTTGGCCCGACTGACGGAAAGGTCAGCTGGCAACTGGCCAACGAGTTTCAACCCAAACATGAGGCAGCCGTGCCGCAGCATTGTGCGGCGCGTGGAAACCTTCGCAGTCGTACCTGGCGAAAGGGCGGAGGCAAACTTAAAAATCGTTAAATGTGGCGAGAAAACTTGGGTAGGAGGTTTCCGCCACTCACAACACAGGCTTTGCTTGGCGTTTACTCCAAATCCGACGCCACCCGTATAAGCATTTTGGAACAACTTGAGGCCAGAACGAGGCTGACGGTCAGGACTTATGTTTGTAAAAGCTTTTGCCGGTAGGGAAGAGGATACTTTATTCTTGGTCTACCTATGAGGGAAGGGCTCACCAGTTACCAAGGATCCGCTTTTTTAAAGAAACGTTTAAACTTTTACAGATGAGACATCCATTGGCCAAGCACGAACATGACGCAGACTAACCATCATCGTTCATAACAGGCCTCAGCACACTAACAGTACAGCCGCTTCCCCCACCGAGAAGTCGATGGTCACTCTGGCCACATCGGCGCGCGCAATGCATCGGGGGGGGGGGGGGGGGGCGCGGCAAAAAAGACGGACGGGAGGTCAGCGGCGGGGCAATCGCCGGCGTTTGATTGGACGCATCGGATGGCTCGCCGACGCGGGATATGAATGCGCGATAAGATAGCGCACGCCGCGGGCGACGTTGTGTAGGCAGAGGTTAGAGGAGAGAGAACAGAGGAGAGCTTATTACCGACGGCCGCTGGCGTGTAGGGGACGCGCGGGGAGGAGGATTGTAGCGCGAGCAAGCTGCTCTGCGTACAGGGCGGTCGATGTGCTACGAGGAAAAGGGCTTCGGCCAGGGCTAGATAAGTCAGATCCCGTGACATGACCGAATAAAATTAAAGGAACTAAAGGAAGGGTTGGATAAACCCATGGGTATCGTAAAATGGGCTCGTTTCTTACATGGAATTGGAAACGGGTGGGGCTGGCAAGGCTTGTGGGGAAAATTATGGGCATCAGCCCAGGTATGGTATTACGTGTACGGAATGTCTAGTAGATACTTCAAGCCACGCTACCGCTTTTCGCTACGATAAGTCTGAAGCGGGTGCGATGTTTCCTGTCGGTACCCGAATCATGGAAAAGCCTTCTGCATCTCCAAAGCGACATGGGCATCTCCGCCTCACGAACCAACTGCCGTACCAAACGTGCGGAGGAAGCCGTTAACGACGGCCTGCTTCCAGCACGGACCACGAGAGCGCGGCTGACGACGCTGAGCGAGGCTGCGGAGCCGCCGCCCGCGGGTCACGCATTGCGGACGCGCCGCCGACAGCCGGCGGACGGGCGACGCGAGGCGCGCGCTCGCGCCGCCGCCGACCGCGGCGTGTTTTTGTTGACGAGGGCGCGGCAAAAAGCAAGCCGTGACGCCAGCAAAACACGGCAGCTCGGCGCCTGGACAAAAACGACGAAACCGGCGATCCGTAGCGTCGCTGCGCCGGTTATGGACGACTACTGGCGCTCCGAGTCTGGTTGCAGTCGGTCTGTACCGGAGGAAAAGTAGGTCTCGGCCAGCGGACAAAAAGACCGACGGGGTGAGCTCTTGGGAGGCTACAGAGAGCCGTGCCCTCGATTTCTCCTCGCTTGCGCTGCAACGACAGCCGGAGGCGGTTTACGCTCATCGGGGCAGTTTTTCAGACTGTTTATGATCGCCGTGTGCTCTCACTTTTACTAACACTAAAATCAGCGCGGATCTCGGGCTTCTGAGTATGGCGTGCGCGTGTTTTAGGGGACTGGATATCACATATCGCGTGATTCGCACACCTATGCGTGTTCGGATATACATTTACGTTTTGTCTGGGGCGGGGTCCCACAGACCGAGTACAGGGCTTGCGTTGGAATTGCATTGTTTTGGTGTGTACTTACAATGCAGGCGTTTTGTCACAAACACACCATGCTCACGTGCCTGGCGATCCGTGCTTCACGCGGCCGTGTCATGGGCCTGGTGATAGCGGGTGGCAGTTCAGCACTGACCCCGCTGCTAGGGCGTAGAGACGCGGCGTCCAGCTAGCTGTCTGGCTGGACGTTGGCGCTCCTAATCGGAAATTTTTCGTCGGGCCGGCGCACATTTCGGATAAAAAACAGCGCAAACTGACTTTTGCAGGTATGCCCCATAACTTGATATGCAGATCACACGCAAAGCCGCGTAATATTTTAGTAAATGTGCAAAATATGTTACTTTTGAAACTTCGTT